AAAGTAAACATTAAATTTTAATAATACGAATTAACATCTATTTAACTACCCCTTTTAAATTATAATTTTACTTCCCAATTAACAGCTCTTTTTATTTTTATTTTTATGAAAAGTTAGAATATTTGCTCTCTTTAATTCTACTCCTATATATAAAAAAATGATACTATACGAGAGTTTTTTTTTAAATTAATGAGAATTTTTATAGATTTTTATTTAATGAAAATAATTTAATATTATAAAAAATAATTTATAATTGAAGGATTGATACCGCTAAATAAAAAACTATTTTAATATTATAAAAATAATTAATATGCAAATAATTTAATTCTTTAAAATCATTCATGTATAATAAGTGATATTATAAAAACTATACATTTATCGAATAAAAAAATAGTTTTGAATAAAAACAAAACAGTTACATTTAATATCCTGACTTCTCTAAAGTTACTCACTTTAGAGTACGGATTAGATTTGTGCATGCATATTATGTTGATAACTTTCTTATGTTTGGTTTAAAACTCTCTTGGAAATCTTGTGACTTTAATAAATTTTTGTCTCAATCATTTTACAAAACTTATATTATCAAATAAAAATTATGTTCCCATCCATTCATTTTGTCGCTTCTAATTTACTTATGTTTTGTTTGAAGGATAGAAGGAATAAAAGAATACGAGAGAGGATAAGTAAAAAATAATTTGATAGAAAATAAAGTAAAGTAAAATAAAATTTACAATTATTTAAAAGAATGAAATTAAATGAGAAATATAGTAAAATTAGTATTTATAAATATAATTTTATTCTTTCTTTATAATATAATTTGAATTTTTATTTTTTATATATTGTTTACAAAAAATTTCTTAACAAAAAAAAGCATAAAAATAATGAAACTCATATCTAATTTCTCACAATTTTTCTTAAATATCCTTTGCTAAATACATATTTTTTTTTCAAATCTAATTTAATTCAGTCTAATTCATTTAAATTACCCCATTAAATGCTTAATATTTGTTTCAATAAATTTAAATATCCGTTGATAGATGTGATTAATTATTTGAGTCTACGATTCTACTTTTTATTCATAAAAATCTTCAACCGTCTCACTTCAAAGGCAATTTTATTCAAAGGCAATTTTCTTTCCACTTTAAATCTTTGCGCCGCAAATCAGTGCAATCATAGTCCCATGTCCTCCCAACATATGGAAACAATAATATATGTCATTCATATAAAGGGGATCCGAACCATAATTTAGATCAATATAAAAATATAAGATTTTAAAATTTAATTAATTATTTATTTATTTTATAATTTTACCTTTTATTTTCCTATAATTATAAATATTTTATTTAAAATTTTTGTTGTCTATTTTTGTAACTATGTAAGTTTTTGATTAATCATTGTCTTTTAGCAATAATTGTTTATTATGGTATTTAGAGATGTAGTGTTGAAAGACTTTCGGAGTTACGAAATTCTTGAGAAAATTTTAAGTTTTTTTAGAGGGTTTTTCTAGGCAAAAATCTTATTTAACATTTAAGATAGAAGTATATAAGATTTTTTTTTAATAGTTACATAAATTTAATTTTTAGAGAACCTTAGAGGGATTCTAAAGAGACGAGTTTTGGAGATTCTAAATTTTCTTCATTCTTTCTAATCTCTTCGGGAGAACATTAGATCACCATTGGTGTGTGATTGTGAGCGGAAGGTCTTGGTTGAAGATCATCCTTGTCGAGTTGTGGTGTAGAGCTTCTCAAAGCTTGGAAGCTCGAAACTAATTCTTCCGCATTCCTTTCTCTTTTGCCCAAAGTCGAGGTAAGGGAAGGTAAAAATGATTTGTTGATGGATTATTGAGTTGCATGTAGTTTATTTACATTAGTGATGTGTTAAGGAGTTGAATTCTTAAATTGTATGAGAAAGTTGTTTAGTGGTGGTGTTTTGAAACATGCTTGAATTGAAAGTTAGGATTTGATTCAACTGTACGCTGCATGTTGTTTTTGAGGTTGAAAATGAGTTGTTCATGTTGCACATATATGGAATATTGCCTTGCATGTATGGATTTTGTTGAATTTCTGGTGGTGTGGGCAAATTCATGAGTCTAGATTGTGCAAAACTCACCATCATACCACCATGGTTCAATTAAGAGCACTCTGTCTTATTCACATTAGACACAAGATTAGTGGTGTCAGACATGAGGAGAAAGAATTATCTGGGTTGAATTAGTGTCGAACGTGGGTTGAATGACTTTGAGCGTGAAGTGAGAAAATTGACTATACTTGAATTGGCGTTGGGTGCTAAAGGAATGATGTTGGACGTGAAGAGAAAAAATCATCTCGAGTTGGCGTGAGGTTGAACATGAAATTTTGCCATGCTAGGCATGAGGTCCCAGGGATCCCCTACCTTAACCATGCTGGAAACGAGTTGAGTGGCATCGAACATGAGCGAGACAAAGCTCTTTGCCACAATGGCCTCAGGCACATGATGTTTAGCGCTGGGCTAAGTTGCCTTGAAAATTCTTATTATTTTTGTAATTAAATGGTAAACATAGATAGATTAAGTGTGTCTATTACAAGTTGCACGCGAATTGGTGATGATGTTTTTTATATATTAATCTAGGACGATATTAGATGATTGTATAGTTGAATGAGTGATATATGTTTTTTAAAATTATTATAAAAAATTGTCATGTATAACAATTTGAAATTAAATGATAATTTATGTGTTTTTTTTACATTATTTTATGTATTTTAATTAAATTCAATAAAAAAGATATACATATGCAAACATCTTATAAGGAAAATGTTGATCATATTGGACATTTTATAGAATTTCAAGGATGTTCGAGATCTAATTTTAATTTTACCTCTAAAAATGAATTTTTATTAGATTTTCAAAATTTAATGTTTTTTGTTAGATTAAAATAAAGTCTTATATATATATTTTTAATATTTATATGGTTATATTTATATTCAAAAATTATTTGCATGATAATCTTAAACAACTAAATTTATGTTTTTTTACTACTTAATGTTGAATTGTGAAATATAGTGACCTAGACCATTACACCTTTTCTTAATATGAGTGATAAATATTTTAATTTTTTGTAAATAAATTTCAGATTTAAGTATTACCACACACAAAGAAGAAAAACAATTGAAATAGTTTTACCAGCTTCTTCATCTATTGAACTCAAGTCAAATTACTTTTTGTTTTTTTTACACCAAGTCAAATTAGTTAAAGCCCAATATACTTTCATATGCCAAAGATTTTCCAAAAAAATATAAAAATAAATATCTCTTGTGGCTTCTTTTGCCACATGAGCGATCATTCTCGCTAAAGAAACATTAATTGTAGGAGAGAAATAAGTATTTACGAAATTGATTAAAAGGAATTGCAAAGGGTTAATCAGTGAAGTAAAATAAAAAAAAAACAATTTGCTTTTATGATAATTAGGATATATATAATTAGAGAGGACGTATAGGAACAATTATGCATTTCGGTCTAGTATATATTTTAACTCGTAAGCCATCATTGACCAAACATCGAGAAATTTTTTTAATATAAAGTTACTGAACTACATAATCATATGTCAACATAAATTAATTCTAAATGAAGATTTTCGAGTCATTCGATGAAGAAGAAGAAAATAAAATCGCTCCTAAAAATAAAATACATAGGGGAAAATATCTTGAATATTTATTTGAATGTAACAAAATAAATACGTCGGTCTTTTCATCTAACCTGCATCGTTGAATGATAGACTTCTAAACTTATTTCTAAGAAACTATAAATAGCACATTTGCCAATTAAGCTATATAAATAAAACGAAGAAAAAGTATTGTGTATGCATGGATAATTAAAAGATTAGAACTCAAAAAGTACCCCCAAAAATAAAATAGAAAACAACCCAAAAAGTGCCTTGGATAATTTATTTAAAAAATAAAGTGTTAGGTTCAAAAAGGATATGAAAAAACTATATTATAATTCTTCTCTAAATCATTAAGGGCACTCCTAAATCGAGAGGCAAAGGTACTTTATTGTCATGTTTATGATATTATGCTAATTAATCAGCCATATCTAAAACGTGTTTGAGAAGAGAAAATATTCTTTCAACAAAATGTAGGTTGCAAAAGTATCCACAGCCAACAGAGTACAGATGAGATGACCTTCGCTTTCAACATAAAGTGTATTTTCATTACACTATTAAGCAGAAGCTGAACCAAAAACACCAAAAAAAAAAAAATAATAAAAAATGACAAATGTTAATAATCAGAAAAAAGTATTTACTTCTTTCCTTTTTAAAGAGAGACACACATATTTAAAAAAAAATAAAAACAAAGAAAAAGAAATACGCAAATATATTGAGTTATATGTTATGATTTGGAGTAAATAAGGTATGTATGTAGTTATTATAACGTAAAAAGTTTTTACACGGTAATTTAATCATAAATTGCAATGTATGATAAATACTATAAAAGTTAATTAAATTTGTAATGGATTATCTTGAAGCTTAAAGTTATTTTTGTGGAAGATATGGCAGTAGTGTAGGAGAAAGTGAGAAAATATGGTATAGTGGTGGTTACATAGTAAACTGGTGTGAGGTTTTACCCCTTTTAAGGAAGATCCTGCTTTTATGCCACGTGGGGCCAATAGCATCTATCTCATGCTCTTTTCTGCATATGTTGTCATCAGCGGTCAGCCATAGGCATAGCCCACAAACATGACTAATTAATTAATTAAATTAGCCTCTCTCTTGCTTACTTTTTTGCATTAAGTCTAATACGAAAGGACAAGTCTGTCATATCTCACATGCTCAAATTCAAGGTCATTTTAATCTTTTCCAAACCCTTTCTCTCTCTCTCATAAATAAAAAATGGCATTTATTTTTAATTTAGAGAATGATGGTAGTAATAAGGCGAATAAAAACAAAGAAAAAAGGGGGATTATATATTTGGTAATTTTTGTGGGATGTGTTGGCGGGTGCATATAAATAAAACCAACCAACAAACTCACAGACCAATAAAAGAAGCCCCTCGTAAGAGAGAGAGAGAGAGGGAGAGAGAGATCAAAAATCAGAACACGCTTTGAAACTGAAGGAAGAGAGAGTGAGTGAGTGTGTGTGCGAGTGAGAGAGAGAGAGAGAGAGAAGAAAACAGAGACATTTGTGAGTGCGAGTTAGAGAGAGAAACCCCCGAAAATCAGAAAAATCTAAGCCATTTTCTCTCTCTACTTTCCGTTTGATCGGAGGCGCTCATTGTGCGTGGAATCAGCTCCGTTCTCCGGTTCGGTTCGGTGCAATGGAGCAGTACGGGCGGTCGAGCGAAGGTTCGAGGTCTGATCCGTCGGCGGAATGGGCCGGGGCCGAAGGTATCCATCTATTCTCCGGTTCTTTGGTTTTGGGGGAATGTGGGGGGTTCTGAACCGGGTTCGATCTTGATTGTGAAAAATGCAGAGGGTATGTGGCAATTGGGATTGGGTGCTGCGGAGGAGTCGTATCCGCAACGCCCCGATGAGGCTGATTGCACTTACTATTTGAGGACCGGTTTCTGTGGCTTCGGTTCCCGCTGTCGCTTCAACCACCCTCGTGACCGTGCCGCGGTAATTCTCCTCTTGCGATCCTCTGCTTCTGCGTTTGCTATTTCCTCTGATCTTGCTCACTACCACCATTCCTTCATTTTCTTCGTCTTTTGCTTAGGTTGTTGGAGCTGAGAGAGCTGCAGGGGACTATCCCGAGCGAGTAGGCCAGCCTGTGTGCCAGGTCATTTTTCTGCTTCTGCCACTCTCATTCCTTGTTTTTCTGCACGATGGACTCTGTGTGTGTGTGTGTGTGTGTGTGACTATATCTGCTGATGCTTGAAATGCAGTATTATATGAGGACAAGGACGTGCAAGTTTGGTTCCTCTTGCAAGTACCATCATCCTCGGCAGGCTGGAGCTGCTGCTACACCTGTGTCACTAAATTATTATGGATATCCATTGCGACCGGTTTGTGTTACTTACTTTTCTATTTGCTGTACTATAAGATTAACTGTGTTTTCTGAATCTTCTCTTTTGTTTTCTGATCTTTTAAATATTTTGATTTTGATATGAATTTTAATGTTTCTGAATGATAACAATGTCAAATTAACAGGATGAGAAAGAGTGTTCCTATTATGTGAAAACGGGGCAATGCAAGTTTGGCGCAACTTGTAAATTCCATCACCCAGTTCCTGCTGGTGTCCAGATTCCAGCACCGTCACCAGTTGCTCCCATTTCGCCTCTACCGGTACCGGTACCTTCACCGTTATATTCAACCATGCAGCCCCCACCCGGTCCTTCATCCCAGCAAATTGGTGTGCTGGTTGCAAGGCCTCCTATGCTGCCAGGCTCATTAGTCCAGAGCCTCTATGGACCCGTGGTAGTGTCCCCTGCCATGGTGCCATTTTCTGGCTGGGGTCCTTATCAAGTATGTCAAGTATTTGCATTTATTTTCAACTGCTCTGTCACATTATGCGTGCATTATTGTAGCTGTTAACTATTGAGCTCTTGGTGTAGGCTTCTGCAACAAGCCCTGTACTTCCGTCTGGTACTCCATCTAATGTTGGTTCAACGCAGCTTTATGGTATAACCCAGCTACCTTCATCAGCAGCTGCCTATCCTGGACCTTATCAACCTTCTGGTTCCTCTGTTGGTCCTTCAAGCAGTAGTCAGAAAGAGCAGGCATTTCCGGAAAGGTCTAATCAACCAGAATATCGGTATTACCCCAAAACAGGGGAAGTTAAATTTGGTCCATCGTATAGGTATCACCCTCCACCAGACACGAGTGCACCAAAAGCAAATGTGGTTCTTAGTTCTGCAGGTCTTCCTTTGCGCCCGGTAATGGTTGCCTCTCATCTTTTGTCGTGATGTGGCGCATCTTGTTGAGTTGTGAATTGCATATGCATGACCCATCTCCCCTCTTCCACATAGTAGGAAAAAGCTTTGCTGCTGTTGATCCATCTTCCCTCTCCCAATAGAATTTTGTAGTTTCCAGCGATCAAAATAGCTGTTTGAAAATTATAACCTAATTGACTTCTTATCGTTTTGTTTTCAATAGCTTTATGGAAGATTTGAAACTTGTTTACTGAAACTTGAGCTTAGTTTACAAATCGTCATTGAGAACGTTTCATAGTAGCAGCCACGAACCATTATTCCTTGTTCTTGTGCTTTGATTATTTTTAAGATACACTTTTCTGGGATGTTGAGCTTTTTTATCTTTATACTATCATGTGCATTCATGTTAGGTTATATCACAGCTGTACCATCAATAAAATTTAGATGAAAAATTGAAAGACCATTTGATGAAATGATATCATGAATGCCTAGTGAATTAGTGTTTTAATCATAAAGCTGGACTATATACGAACTCTTTCATTTTTAGTCTATTGGGGATTTTTCTAGAAAAAAATGAAGGCACGGAGGTAAAACTGTTGGTTTAATATTGTTACCTTGGACTTGATTGTACCTTTATGAGAGTGAATTCCCACTGTCATGCATTTCATTTTAGTCGGGGCATCCTTTTCCTTTTTAGGTGTATGTTACGTTAAATATTTTTGTCTGATCAGTATAACTGCACCCAGGGGTAAGTAAGTTCAGTCAGAAAGATCTTCAAAGTGTGGATATGTTCTCTGCCAGAGCAAGGAATACTGTGTATTATAAACAGTTAAAACTCATCATGACTCTTTTTACAGTTTGTAAGAAAATACTGAAATATCATAAAGTCTTGTGGTTGAGGTTAACATGTTCTGTTTGTATTTGAGTAACTCTGATTAGTTTTTTTCTGCATAATTACCATCACATTAATGTATTGATCATAATAGGTTATTTTTAATTTGTGTACTTCTTAAGGCAATTTCCTGAGTCTTGCATGTTATAGTTAGATCTTCTACCAATAGTCCAATAATGAATTTTTGCTTTTCATGTTTATCCTTCTTTTGTCGGAATATATATCTTTCCCACATATATGAAACTTTTCACTTTTTTGGTATGTGGAAGTTTTATAATTCCTCTTTTAATAGCTTGCTTGTAGATTATAATTTATGAACTCCTGTATGTTATCATGCTATTGATTACTGGGTAATGATCTTATGATACCTATTGTGCTTGTTACAATGGTATTATGAAGATGTACTCTGCATTGTTTGTATGGCGTATGTCATTCATACATAGGGTGATAAGATTATCAGAACATCACTAAATGACTAAGAATTTGTTCCAAATCTATGTGTCATATAAAATGCTGATCCCAAACTAGGGATGGCTTGGTACACACTTGAGTGAATGATAAGAACATAGGAAGAAGGTCAAGAATCAGAGCCCTGTAGCAGTCCAAGACCATATTTATCACTTAGAGATGTCATTTGATACTCGGAGATCTTATAAATGAATATAGCATACTCCTATTTAAGATTCATATGTCAACAATTAGTCCTGCATACAAGTTGTGTTCGTATTCAGAGATCTTCATTACCCACTGGGGGGGGGGGGGGGGCAGGGACTAAAACTGAAGTCTGTGGAAGAATCAAATTAGGGATTAACCAGCCATTGTCTCCTTACATTTTCTCCAGTAGCCAACAGCAACAGGTTAGGAATCATATTCCTATATGTAGATCAGCTTGGCATATTAGTAAATTTCTTGATTGAAAGTTGATCTATTCACTTCTTTTGGCTTTAGGAAATGTGTCTAAGATTGTCTTGATTTTGATGATCGTTTTTATCCAAAATTCTTTTTTGCCTTTGATATAAATTGCTGCTCTTGTCATGGCTTATGCTCGGTACAAATGAGTTTTTAGGTTCTTCATAGACATGTTCAACTTAATAAAATCAAAACGTTTCGTTTCCTCTGTAATCTGTAAGATATGGAGTGTCAATACTTGATAACAGTCCTATAAGCATTGTGGACAAGATCTGGTAAAAGCTCTGGTTTAGATGTTCCAATTTCCCTTGCAGAGTAGTAGAGTCTAAGCTAATTTGGTGTTAGTTTGAACAGGTCTTTTCTTTTTGCTCATTGTTGTGTTTTTAGAGCTAGCCCTGATGCGGTATATAGTAAAATATGCTAAGGATCAGTGTTTCTCTTTTACCCTTTTTGTTTTGTTTCAACAATTGCAATAATCAATGTCAAGAATTGCTAGAATATCTTGAAAATATCCCATAAATATCATTATTGAATCAAACTACTTTTAGAATATCTTAGATGGTCTCTCTGAACTGGGGAAATGGTTTTCATCTTTCATAATATTTCATGATTTGTTTTCTTATTTAATTAGGATTATGAGTCTACCCAGTCTAATATTAGTATAAAAAGGGTCAGTGTTTTGTCTTCTATGTAACACCATTATACACAAGAAGATCTTATTCATAGTATATTTTGTTTTTCTTTTTCTCCTTCTCTACCTAAATCCCTGTAATTTGTACAAGAATCAGGTATCCCAAAAACTTGAGCTAAGATAATGTAAATGGTTTTAATCAATATTGAACACGCCACTTTGGGAAAAAGCCCTTTTATGGCCTTGGGAATGGGAATGGACAAAGGTTGTGCCACCAGACTTTTGTGGTAAATTTTTAATATAATAAAAGAGTTGGTAGCAAAGATCCAACTCTTCAGAACTTTGTTGAAGAGTCTTAGGTAAACATGTCAGCATCCATCCCCATATCAGCTGATATCCCATAGCAGCCAGCTGATATAAGCCTCTGGAAATTTGTATTAATACTTTCTACAAGTTATAGTTACCTAAAAACTAAGTCTTATCCCACTAGTTGAAGTTCACTACGAGGATCAGTCAACACTATTGGAGTATATCAAAAATAAAATTTTTCAGTAAAACCATTTAGTGTTGTTTCTTGTAATGGTTTTTCTGACAGTTACCTAATTTCCATGAAAGAAGTGTTTTAACAGTTTATGCAGTTTGTTTCATTATGTTTTGATATTTATTTTTTAGATTAACGTAATTTCATACTCTTTTCTTTATCTTCTAATTTTTAGTAGTCATTGGGTGCTTTTCAGCTTCTTTTCTTTATTCATTACACCTTAATTTATTTCACTTTATGCATCGTCTTCCCTGGCATCACTGTTTTTCTTATTTGATCTATATAATCTTATGATGTGTCTAACTTATTTTCCTTTATTAGACATAAGATTTTGGCTGTTTGAGCATTGCATATTCTTTATCTTGTTCATAGCCTGAGTGCTACTTGTGTTTAAGCAAGAATTTTTCATGCTATTTGGGTTTGTGAAGATTGCTTCTTGTCCCATCAATTGCATTTGCTTGAAATCTTTAACAGTGCTAGGAACACCTTGTGCTACATGTTTCTTTTGTTCAGCATAGGTGTTGTTGTGCTTCGTCATCTTTTTTTTTTCTCTCAATCTAAGTTCCATACTAGTTTGAGTTGTTCAAACTTTGTTTTCATTGGTAAATATTTGTTTCCTTCCTGTGATTTTTTATTAGGGCCGCTTCTAGTTTTCCATATTCTAGACATTAGGACTATGATAAACACGTCTTTAATGCTCTCCGCTGTTGTTGTTGCTGCGTGCCCGGCCCCAACCCCCTCCTTACACATTAATGTTTCACTTTTGACTTTGGTTCAAGGGAAGTATCTAAATATATTTTAATTTTGTCATTACATATTTTAAAAAGCTAGCGCTAGGCAATGATAAGTTTGACCATTCAATTGAATTATTTTTGAAAAATATTGTTTGACTGTCTTCTTAATCACCAATCTAATGTGTGTTTGATGACCAGGGGGCACCAGCTTGCACTCATTATGCACAACATGGAGCATGTAAGTTTGGTTCTGCATGCAAATTCGATCATCCTATGGGATCACCGAGTTATAGTCCATCTGCTTCTTCCATGGCTGACATGGCAGTTGCAGCCTATCATGTGGGTTCAACAATTAGTACCGTTGCTCCATCTTCATTGTCAGAGTTGCGGCCTGAACTTTCCTCAGGACCCAGCAAGGATTCTGTTCCATCCAGAATGCTTTCATCAACGGGCATGTTGACTGGTGGACCTGTTTCTCAATCAAGCACTCAATCATCTTCTCAGAGTTCGGGTCCTTTAGCAGCACCTGTCACTACTGCCACAAGTAGCAATGTACCTCACACCTCAAGCTAAGCAATGTGAATGCATACCTCATCATTACTCTTTTTTTTTATTATCTCAATTCTTCCACTGGACATAATCATTCAAGGAGGTCCTCCAATAGGTTTTGTTTTCAGTTATCTCAGTTCCAGTTTCAGGTCTAGCACACTTCACACCAATTATCTGTGTTCATATAATCTTTTTTGTGGCCATCCCTTTGATCTTGAATAAACCATGGCCATCCTTGAGAATTTTAGCAAACCATACGACCACCTTGCTTTTGAATAACTCGTAAAGAATCTGCAAGCCCATTGTACACAAGCCCTTCCACATCTCCAATTTTGGAGGTTGGGCTGCTTATTTTGTGCTCCAATCTTTTTTGATACAAGAACATTCTGTCCAGACTTTCGTTGACCATGTGTTTATGTCTCTTCACCTGAACCCTTCTTAATACTTTTCTCAACTTGTATCTGGGGTTTAACGTGAAGAGAAGTCAGGAGACTACAATGAGGCTTCACATTGCTATCTTATATGGTTTTAGATACACGGTGTTGTGACAATGAAAATCTTGACTTGGTACTTAAATTTATTACAAAATACATATATGGAGAAGCAAATTTAAATTAACACATTTAAATGTGTAATAATCTCTTTTATCTTTTTTTTTTAATCAGATTATACTTGATCAAGTTTCAATGCAAGATCGGGTGATTTTCCAAAGTTTTATTTATTTATTTTTTTCTTCTAGTCACCCCCTTCCCCGTTGATTGAATTTGAATTTTTTTTGTTGTAAAATGTTTATTGTACAGAGTACTGCTTTTATCCAAAGTGAAACGAAGGGTCCAATGAAAGTCGCTTTCAGGTCTAGTCCTTGTGTGTAATGCACAGGGCTAACAAAATCTATAGTGGGACATAAATAAATAAATATAAGATTTAATTATGTTTTTATTCATTAAAATTTGGTGTATATTTTTTTTCTTCAATTTTAGAATTTGTATTTTTAATTATCAAAACATTAAAATTATTATGTTCGTTTCTCAAATTAAATTTTGTTTTAGTTTCTTTTGTTTTAAATATTATTGTTTAACATTAATATCATAATTAATATTGATAAATTAAGAAAGAGTAAAAGAGATATTTTTTTTAATATTTTAAAGATTAATAAATCTTAAATTTGAGCTTAAAATTATAAAACATATTTAAGACTGAATAAAATAATTCCAAAGTTTTCTTCCCATGGATAATGCATGTAAAGAATATCTGCTTTTAGAGCCGCAACTTTTAGATCCCTTTATTTTATTTTTTTTCTTGAGGTACATTAAAGATTACACAAGAAATACTAATATTTTGTGGCTGAATTTTGTGCTTGAAGTACTCTAGATATTTTTTTCTTCTGTTTTTTTTAACGAGTTTGGTTTATTAGTTTGAAGTTTTTCATATAATTAATTTTGAAAGAACTATTTTATACTTGAAAATGATATTTTAAAATAATTTTATTAATTAATTTTGTTTGGACAGAATAAAGTAAAATCATTTTGAGATGTAATATAATAATGTTAAATAAAAATATGATAGAAATGTACAACAAGCATTAGAAACATGGCTGTGTGCCATGAAGGCATAACTATTTCTAATTTTTTCAAACCAAAGAGATAATTATGTAATTACAAATGTTGTTGTTTGTTTAAGCTAAAACTGAAACGATTTAATTTCGTGTGCTACCGTGCCAAAGATAAAGACAAGGCAGTTTTTAAAAATTTCTCATGGCTCAGAACTCTGGGAAAGAGAGAAGAAACGTCTAAGAGAGAGTAAAAAATAAAATAAATGACGTGTAATGTGATAAAAAAAAAAAATCACGTTTGATCATTAAAAAGGAAAAGCCAGTAATAAAATCTTCACTCACAATCAACACATTTTCGACTGTCGCAAATTTTTCTCAGATAAATAACAATCTAAAAGAAACGGATACTGAGACTGAGTTGTGACCTTTCAGAAAATAGCCTCACTTTCAGTGCTTCATGCTTCAATCGTTTATTATAGTGATAATATACGTGTATGATGCATATCTTAAACATATTTATCAATTATTTTTAACACTTAAAACCAGTACTTAGGCTTTCATCTTTTCTCTTTTAATAGATATTGGTGATAGCATGGGAAAGGTCTTGAACTAGTGCTTCCCTGTACAACTATTTGTCTTTCTTTTTCTTTTTTTAAATTATTCTCTTGCATCTTCCAAGTTTTTCTGAACTGAGGAATAATCCATGTCAAAAATATCCTCATAGATTTAACTAATCAACTAAAGTTTTGCATTGTTATGATTGGAGTATTGGCTTTTGCGTTTATGCTCCATTGAAGAAAAAAAAAATACACATTATATAATTAAATTACATTATGAATTACTAGAATCCATCTAATGATTAAAGGTTGAAATAATATGCATAAAATCATAAATCTTAACATGATAACGATTGTAAAATAAAAAAATTACATCACACATCACAAATTGATCTTAGAATAATAACTAATTAATAATGATGATAATAATTATAACAATAACAATAATAATGATATTAATAATGATAACTATAATAATGTGAGCATACTTTTCTTAATGTGAGAGAGAAAAGTGATAATCCAAATTACTAACCGCGTATTTGTTTTCACGTCTAAATCAAAGCTATATGCAGTAGCTATTTTAGACGTGAATTTCATATTAGACGTGGTTAGTTGACGTATATCTAAACACATGCTAAGGATTTTTTTCAACAACATAAAACCAAAAAGAGCTCATCCCATGAGTGCAATTTAGTAATTACAATAGAAGAAGAATAGTTCTCCAAGACAGACGTACCGAGTGCATGCAATGCAAATACACAACACAACACAAGGACCAAGTCTAAGGCACCCCTTAATAAGAGGCACCTTATTACCTCAACCATAGCTCAGAAGAGTGAGTATCCCAAGTCCACATCTCCAAAGGGAGGAAGTGATGATGAAGAAGCATCAGCCTCAGCCTGAGTCATCACACTGAAGGGTTCCTCAACCCTTGATGGATTGCTAAACATAGCTGCTAGTTCATTGGAAGTACTACAACCCCATGGTCGTTGATTATCCCATGATAATCCTTCACTAGGGTAAGAAAAATCTGCAAAGTTAGATTCCACTGTTGTTTGCATGTTCAAGGCTTCTTGAGTGGTGTCAAAATGTGACTTAACCTGCATGGAGTTTGAGTTAACATGACTTGAAGCACTGGCATTGCTCTTCCTGAAGCAATTATCAGGAACTATGCATTCAAGATAGCCTGAGTTGGAGTCACTTGAGAAGAAGAAATTTTCATCCTGAGGTGGTGATCCATATGCACTCATGTCAGAAGGGTTTTCAATATGGGAAGCTATAGTACCAAGCTGAGATAGGCCACTTTGAATGGTTGGATTTTGTGTGTTGTGAGTGCTTGTGAGAAACTGTGAAGGTGGCAAGAGAGGTTGAGAATCACCAACATTGTGGAAAGTGTTGGAATCTTTGGAGTATATGAAGTTGGTTCTTGCTTGGCATCCTTTCATGGACAGGGCAGCTCTGTCATAAGCAAGAGCTGCTTCTTGAGCAGTGTCAAATGTTCCAAGCCAATGTCTTTCTTTGGTTATAGGGTTTCTGATTTCAGCAGCATATCTACCCCAAGGACGCCTCCTTACTCCTAGAAACCTTCCAGGTTCTGCTTGCTTTCCACGCCCTCTTCTCTCACCACAAGGAGATGTGTTAAGTTTAAGAGGAGACAAACTCATTTGGCTTTGGTTGGACTCATATCCTTTGAGGGAAGTATTTGAGGTTTTAGAAGTGGACATGGTTTTGAAAATGGTAACAGAATGTGTTTGATGAGGGAAAAAATGTAATAGGGAAGTTAAATAGTGGCACCTCAAGGGAGCATAGGAGGAATATGAATGCAAAAGGGTGAAGTTGTGGGAAGCCTTTTAAAGACGGTGACTTCATCATGGAGAGAAGGAAAAGGAGATTTTGCATATGTCATTTTTATGTAAACCGTTTTCCCTTTTCACCTACCTATGAAATCTTGTTACTAGCTCAATATATGAATCTGTCCAAATTTCTGTCACATGTCAATTTTTTTAGTCACCTTTTTTTTCCCCTTCAACTAATTACATTTTGGAATTTATCATAAAATGTTGGTTTTCTCTTTTCCTGTGGTTTTGCACGGGACTGATGCTAGTTTCTTTTAAATCTCTGGCTCTCCATCACATCTACTTTATAATTAAACCGAATAGTGAAAATTAAAGATTCCCTTCAAATGGAGCTCTACAAACCGCACTTTGAGTACTTGTTTTTTATTTGCAACAGTCGCTTTCTTCATAGTTCCAATGAAATTTAAAATGTGTATGCTGTATCTTAGTAATAAGCATAACAGCCGATTTACCTTGGTAAGTTAAAAAACTGATCTATTACTTAGTTTTTGAACCGAGAGAACAATGTAAAACTTAGTGAGCCAATTATTGCATCTGGCCCATGCAAGGTATTGGGATTTGATGAGGATTGGCAAAAATTGGATCCTAATGAGTATCAGTTCATATGTAAAGGCCAAGCTAATCATCAAACTACCTGTAATTCTACCAGCTAAATTCTTTTTTGTTGATTAAGCCACCAATTTTGTCTTCAAAGTATTATCCTCTCTCTTTAAGTAGTCTATAAAATTATAAAACTATTTGATTCCTATTTGGAGGGCTACTTGCCATTATTTCCAATATTTCGAGGACTACTTACGTAGTTTTCCTTACTTTAAGGATCGCTAAGAAGAGTGTGAAATAGTTAAAGGATGAAATATTTTGTTCTTTTCAGTACATGAGACAATATTGAAAAACAAAGACACATACACCTTAGAAGAAAAAGGCTTGACCCTATAAACTATTATTGATATTTATTATATATGTGTAAAGAAATCTAGCATAAAATCTTTATCTATATTTTCAGTTAGATCCATTTCTGGAGGACGTATATATCACAGGAAAGGAAAACAAGTGCATTATTTGTCTGCATACTCCTAGAGAGTCTCTAAACTTTGAATTTGGGGCACGTTATCTTAGCATGATGTTCACCAGCTGCATGTAATATGCACATGTGAAACCTTTTATGCAAAATAATCAACCAATTACATTGAAAATCTCTTGTTTGCTCATAGTTTTCAAAGGGAGCAGTTAAAATTATCTCTGACCAGGATGAACATTGTTTAATAATTTGATATTTTATGTATTCCCTGTCTCGTGTCATTGAAACAATGACTCTCTAGAATACACAAATAGAAAAAGGTTGTCTTATGAAAGGCCCACTTGTTAAATTCTTAATTTTGTTTGTTACTTCACATTTCAATGGTAGAATTTTCAATTCTGGATTATGGTTTACATCCTAGGCAGAACTGATGGTAGTAGTTCACATGCCTCAATAATGGAGTTAAGTTAGCACGGTAAAGAGTGTCAAACAACCAAAATCACTCCATTATAAAAGATCAGGTTTTCTTGTATATATCTCTTTCATGCCAAAAACGTGTAGTTTCTGGCAGAGTTCAGTTTCATTTAATACTTTATTATCATGTTTATCTTTTGGATCTTTCAAGCACAAATTCAATTTTGCATTCTAGAATGTTCATCAACGGTTTTCTTATAATAAGTAGTAGTTTAATATAGTCTTTGACCGTGATTTCGACCGCATTGTAAGGGTTTTTGAGGTCTCTGTAATTGTTCACAATTTTTCATGACATCAAAGATGACAATAGATCGTGACACAATTTAAAACCTTAGTCATGTCTATATTTTGGATTAAGACAACAGCATGAATGTATTCTATCTTATAAAGTGAATTAGGAGTTTAACTCAATCTTACAAAATTAATGTGTAAGATGAAAGATTGTTCTTTATCTATATATACTATATTATGGCACTAATTGATGTGAGATCTCTAATACTCTGGAAAGTGTTTAAGTGCCAATGAGTAAATGTGAGAAAATGGCTAATGGCAGAAATAGATGATAAAACATTGCATACATGTTCCCTGCTGAGCAATTTTCAATAAAGTCTGATAATGAGAGACATGAGTACTGATCTCTAAAAGCCAATAGAAAAAATGGGGTAGTCAAAAAGGGCAACGAAAAGCTTAAACGAAGCATGCAAATTGAAGTTGACTAAACCGCCCCACAAGACAAAAGCTATAGTGGGCCATGATTTCATTGATTCACAGTTCTTGTAGTAGTATAATTTTACTCTCTTTAATTAAGCCTGCAAAATCATTCTATATGGCATTGGAAATAGCATGCCACTAATCATATCAAAAGGGTCAAGCCGTTTTGTTGTTTTTAGCAGTGCCACATAATGCTTTGTCATGTTGCCTCAATCAAACTTTGATAAATTTTGTAAACAATGCAAGTGAAAAAAAGTACTCTATTCAAACATGAGACCAAAATGAAAGAGATCACAAACGGCTCAATTACAGTTGTTTGATTAAGAAATCATTTGGGATTTGACTTTAAGACTCTTGACTCTTCCACTAAAGATTTCAAGCAGCCGAAAGATACAATATTTTACCTCCATTTGGGCCCCCATGTTGAAGGGTATGATATTAGTATTAATGCTCTTACTGTACCAAAAAACATGAACATTCATAAATTGAAAAATTAAGAAAAAGCCAGGAGTTTCTTCTAGCCACAGAACTTTTGTTGTTTGCTAATTCCATGAACATGAAGAGAAAAACTAGTCAAATTATGAATGACAGAATATATACCTATACATAAAGACACACACATATAAGGTGTTTGTATATTTTTATGAGAGGCACTAATTTTAAACATACATCCATAAATCAATAGTCAAGATGACTCTCTTTCTTTTCTCAATATGCATAATATGAATGGATTCTTATGTAAAGTCTTGGAACTTACCATTTAGCAGGAAGAAAGTTTAGTCAGGGCACATCTCAAAAGATGAGTTTTAGTTGGGTTGGCAGAGGAGTACATTTTTTATAAGCTACTTTACATATCCCTAAAATAAATTGTTTTTTTTTTTTTTCTGTAGTAAAAGTAAACACAAAAGTTAGCTTTCTGCCTCTATTTTTGTCATTACTTTTTTCGTTTATTTTATTGTATTTTAAAGTGTTTTGGAATTACAAAATTTTCCTTGTTTTATATAATTCAATTGTTACCTCACTTACTTAGGTTATTATTATTTTTTATTTTATTGTATTTTAATATCATAATCAAAGTGACACATGTTAAATAACAAAATACTTTTTAAAATACGTTGTTAAAAGTTTGATTTCTGATATATAAAGAAGACTTTATTGAAAGAGTAATAATCACTTCAGTAATTTGTGTTTTAAAAAAATTAATTTCTAATTGTTAATTACAAAATATCTTTGATGTAAAAAGTGTTTTTTTTTTCAAAAATATGAAAATACTTGTGAATCTCTTCTTTCTTTCTTCTATTTTTTTTGTGTGTGTGTTTTTACCATGTAAACTTTTATGGTTAGAAGAGAATTTTGCACATTCTCCAAAACTGGCTCATAATTTTTTCTCATTGTTAAAGGTCATCCGGCATTTAAGGGTAAAGATAAGTACGTTTACTTGGACTTTGACGAAAGATAGACTAAAGAGTTCAAGTGACAAATGTTTTAGCAAGCAACTTTTGGTTCAAACTTGTCTCATGTTTGCTTTAGCACCTTCATCTTCAGCTCCTATTCTGTTCATATACACACTTGTGTCCTCCCACTTTGCAACCAAAGTTCACGACACAATCTGCTCTTTCTGCTTTTTAAACTCTTGCTTTATTAACTTAATTATGTGCCGCGGTGTCTTGTTCCTTGTTCGTGAATCGTGACCACCACAAAATACGTTGAAATGACATCATATTAAATATGCATCTCAGTGATGCTAAGGAATTTAAATGCAAGTAAGAAATAGCATAGAGAAGGTAATGATGACTAGTTAGAACCCTTCCCAATCTCTTGAGAAATAATTTATTTAATTTTAATTGGAGGGTCTGTGAATAAGAGTTTTCACCATATTACGACGGGTTATATTTATTTCTTACTGGATTTACAAAAATATCTTTGATGTAAAAAAAAGTTATTTTTTTCTAAAATATTTTTACTTATTTTCATGTAAACGAAGTTATTAACCTTTTAGTTGTGGTAACTAAACTATAAACGAGAAGCTAAAAACATTTTTTTCATTTCTAATTTTCAATGCCATCCACAATTAATTTTTAAATGCCTTATTATAAATTTTACGACTTTGAAAGACAAAATGATGTTTTAAACACTTTTGCAATAAATTTTGAAAATTCACTATATCTGTACTTCATCTTTTAAAATCCCACCCATCGTGCATATTTTAAGGTAATTGTCAAAATAATATGATTTATGTATGTATCTAGAGATGAGAATATAAATTACCCGTTAGTTTGAACCAAGGCAGCGGTAGAAAGCGACCACACTTCTACAGGAAACAACAAAAGTCCTTCCAAGGCAGTTGTCAATAATGTGTTCAATTCTAAACCTTAAACCCTAAAGATTAGTCTCAGACTTACCGTAGATTAGCCAATTACTATGCAGACACCCCTGTTCAAATAACAGCAGTATGTATTATTGTTTTAAGAGATTAAAAAAACAAATAAAACCATTATTCTGGCAATAAAAATTGTTATTTATCTAAATTAAAAAAAAAACTAATCAATAAGCAGCTTAGTATAATTAACTGAGGAAAATTTAAATTATGCCTCAATTATTTTCATCAGATTTCAATTTAAATATCTACAAACAAATGAATTAAGATATATAAAATGATGAGATAAAGTTCTATAATAGATTAGGAAGACATAGTTGATGCACACATGACCACCACCTTTCATAACTCTAACTTCTACCTCTGATCAATCTTTCCAATTCCAAATTATCCCACATGAGGAATGTACGAATTTTTATATGTGCCACGTATCACTTCCTTAGTTATTACACTGCCAATCCCAGTTTGGAAGTTCAGGTAACAATAACATATGCTAATTATACAAATATAGTTCCGCCTCAACAGTAGCTCTTCGGATAAAACATAGAAAAAATCAACAAGAGACGGTGTAAAACCAAGACCATCTCAATTCTCACATCAGGAACGTTAAGATACCAATGTAATTGCTTCTAGAGAAACAATTTAAGGGTGGTTTCTAACAAATGATATACACGAACCATGTAAACATGGCCTAGCCCTATTAGCTTGTGATGCAACATATATAGACATTGATAATTATGGGAAGGTTGTCTAACACTGGTGCAGTAAAGAAAGACAGAGGAGCCTGTCATGCCCCAAAATAACAGGATGTCTTAACGGATTTTTCACCTACAATCATTAACATCTTCCTTCTTTACAGAATCACGATCGTCTCTCAACCATATTATAGTTAACAAGCCAGTAAAATGAGCTACAAACAATTTAGAGATAAAATACAACAATCTCAATCCAGTCGCTTTTTATGATGACTTCACGCCTAACTTGAAATTTGACTGTTCACTTTAATTTCATCATAATATCCGATCCACATGAATGCAGTCTGTCAAGAATAAGGAAGCAATCATGTTAGGCATTTAATGTCCTATACAAAATAATTTATAACAAATCCTTATAAAGTTACATAAGCAATCACATTTCTTCTGTTTTAAACCAATTTAAGCAAACAATGTTAAATCATAAATTTGCACCACGAGTCCACGACGACTGTTTCTTACCTGACCTACTCGTGAGCAGTTGAAGAAGATCACAGCTTCAAGTCAAAATATAAGAACTTGAAATTCTAAATGCACCCAGCAAACATGCCATCACAGGACAAGCATGTAATGGCTTGCATTACCCTTATGCTTTCTCATGCAGCTTTTCGTGACTTTTATCCTCTTCTATATCACCTCATTACCTCATTAGGATTGAATTTGCTTCCTACATGAACAGCTGCTCATCAACAAGCAGTAAACATAATTTCAAGAAGGGTGCCACAATTGATGATCTTGATTTCAAGAAATCACAAAAAGCTAAAATACAAATGTTTGAAAATATTGTCAACTTTAACTACTATAACAGTGGCGTTGGTGATTTTGATTATCCTAAATACACACAAATAAATCAGAAGTGATGACATAGTAACATCTCTATCAGGGAAGGTTAAAGAACCAAAGGACTCATTTGGCTTTTATAGCTGTCCATATGCACAAATGTTGCAGGAAAACATTATATAGGGGAAATCATGGTAAGAGTCACTATTTATTATATTCAAATTGTATTGTTGCCAAGATTCATAGGGATAGCAAGGAATAAAACCATTACAAGAATAATGTTCTCCTTACCTATGGCATAGTTGCAGTACACGAGTCTAGAAGCATTGAAACTGAGTCGCATTACTTCCATTCAGGCCACTTAACTGAATCTGTGGATATTTTCCTCATCTTAGATACACCAGAATTGTTAGAGTCATGCCATACCATCTTCATCTGAGCAGTAGCATAACAAATGGTCATCGGGTAAGCATTACGGAAATGGTACAAAACAGTGTAGAAGAGCCTCATGTAGGACTGCCTAACGATGTATTGAGAAAAAAGAAAAAAAAAAACATTTCCAGCTGCTAGATCTTTCCAGGTTGTTCTTGATGTCATAAAAAGTAGAGGTCAATAATGTTCCATAATCCACACAGTTAAGGGCACATCATTTTACAAGACTAATAGGACAACTAAATTTCATTTACTAAACCATATGCTAACATAATTGTTCATCATGTTAGCAAAGTTTGCAATGAATAGAAATGCTGAAGAGAAACAAAACACACCTCTCCGACAATTACTGTGTCCCCTTCCTTTACACCAAGTTTCATAAGAGACTTATACACACCACAAGCCTCAAGAACATGTTGGAATCTTCTCTCTGAATCATTGTATCTGTAAAAAGATCAATCTCAATGAAACTAGCCATGAACAGGTGTTACAATTTCAAGCATAATGCTTATCCTAATACACATTTTTTATAACACATCAAGTATCAAATAAGAGAAGGATGGAATTTCAAATCTTAATATTTTCTCACACTATTCAGAAAAGCTCCTCCCACGATGTCTAGTTTCCTATGATTATGCTTAGAGTACTTTTTGTTTTGGCATCTACACATAAAGTTATGAAAATCTATGCAAGAAGCTTCATACGAGTGATCATAAATGGTTTTGTAAATAAATACAGAATGAGTGCAGGATAATGATTTCAACACTATTTATTAAATGTGATTGGAAGTTACAACTGAATAAGTATGTTTAAGATGCAAGAAAAATAACACATAAGTGATAAAAAAAATGATTAAGCAATTGTACTCCAGATCACATTTTTACTCTTTAACCTACCTCCAATTTGTCATCTGTATAAATCGTTGCAATCCAGATCCAACTACATGCCAAATATTTGAATCACTGTCATGAAAAATCTCAAAATCACTAATGGATGCATTCCGTTGCTTCTTTACTGCCTCAGCTACATGGTTCAAGGTTACCATATCTTTTCCATCTGAAACAGGTCAAATTTGTTCAGTGCAAGAAATTAATAAAGAAAAAAAAAGGTGACATGAAAATAATACATAAGTTTAAATCAAATTATAACCTCCATATTCCTCCTTGTCTTCTTTACTTCTACGCAAAAGCTCATAAGCAGCACAGATAACTTCATGAGTACCTTCCCTTGTGACAGCACTCATACAATAAGGTGTGATCCCACGAGATTGCAACTTTTCTTTGAAGGATTCCCAGTTTTCATATGCTTCTGGAAGATCCATTTTGTTAAAAGCAACTACATAAGGCTTCTCAGCAAGTTCAGGATTAAATAGTTTCAGCTCTAGACGAACTGCATCAAACTCGAGATCTGGCTGCAGTGATGAACCATCAACAACATGTACCTGAAACCCAACATATATAGGCTTGATTTAAGCAGCACTTTTCAGGGTGAGAAAAAATAGCATACAAAAAATATCAAATTAGTTTTACTTTGAAACTGAAATTGCATTGTTAAATGGGTAGTACAAAGCCAGCAAGAGAATATACTCAATATAGTAGAGATGAGAATGTTGCACCTGATGAGTAGATAAACTGGTCAAGATAGGATTAAGAATGAATGCATTAGGGAAAAAGCTGGGGTAGCACCTAATGTAGAAAAGATGGTAGTCTTCTCTTTGGTGATATGGGCATGTTGGAGAGGACCTATAAAAGCCCTAGTAAGAAGAGTAAATCAGATGGAGGGTAGTCCAATAGCTAGTGGCAGAGGGAGAGTGAGAAAATTATAGGAGAAACAATTAAGAAGGATTTGGTGGTGGTGGTTTTTGATGAAATAGCATGCTCACCAATGCACCAAGAATGGAAGTTTCATACAGAGAAAAATAAAACCATACATGCATATTCTACATAGGTGGACCATGTTTGAACCTTAAATCAATGAATAACCTATAGATCAATCATTCTCTGATGTAAAATTCAACATAAAGATATTTTAGAATAGGCTGGGTTATAATACAAAAATTGATTGATCTAGAGCTGTGTTGCATGGATATGGGTACAGTACCAGTTACAGGTACGAGTACAAGATACACAATTTTTCAAAAGTCTAGGGTACGGCATGAGTTTTGGAGTACCCATGCTTCAAAGATCTAGAGAGATATAAGACAAATGTGGACAGAAAAAAGTGAGATAATGGATGGTAAATGATTCTATGAGCTCAGAAAAGCAAACAAGCTGAAATTTTACTCAATCTAACTTGAACAGAACTGATACAGGCAGAGGTGAGATCAAAAGGATGGAGTGGCAAAATACAGATGGTTTAAGGGTCTCTTATAGTTTTTTTTTCTCAAAAAAATGATGTCTGAAATTCATTATGGAAAAAAAAATACTTATAATTTACTCTTGCTTTTGTTTTCCGAACCCCTACGAACAGTGTGGTAACTCTACAATTGAGCACAGCTCTACCAGAATTGAAATTCTCAAATGTAACTATATCTAATATCTAATTATACAAAGCAGAACAAAGCATCTCAACTCAAATGTGCCTACCAGGGCAGAACACCTTTCAGTGTGCCGTAGAAACTCATGGCCTAAACCAAAACCCCGGTGTGCCCCTTCAAGCAGACCTGGAAGGTCTGCCACTACCATGGTTGAATCATAGTCAAAGGAAACAACACCAAGATTCGGAAGCAGTGTTGTAAAGGGATAATTAGCCACAGCCGGCTTGGCAGCACTAACAACACTCAAAAGTGTACTTTTCCCCGCATTTGGAGCACCAACTATACCAACATCCGCAACAAGCTTGAGCTCTAGCTCCAACCACCTGACCAAAAGAAACCATCATTCTATAAACTCCCATATGATTCCAACAAACTCAAAACAAACCAAATTCCATCCTTCAGATGTGGACAACTAAGGAGTTGTTTAGTTTGAAAAAAAATATTTTCTATTTTTATTCTTAATTACAGAAGTGTCAATATGTCATCTTATCTTTCATAATCTGTTTAGTGGAAACATAAAATGAATACAGAAAACATTTTCTTCTTTTTAAGGAGACCACAAGTGTCCTCCTGTTTGAATTGAACCAAGTAGGACTACACTTTTACGAATTTAATGAAAAAGCATATTCAAAACTCAAACTTAATTCCACTGGTTAAGCCCAAACAACTTTGTATTTAAGACTCGAACTCAATACTACTGGTCTAACTGAAACAAATCTATGCCAGTTGATCTACTTATTCATGACTCAACTTCAATACTATTAGTTAAGGTAAAACAACTCTGAGTCAGTTGATCTACGTTCAATCAGTGTTCTCTAAAGCTAGAGACCCTAACCATGCAGGGTAAAAGAACTCACATTTCAGGACCCTCTTCCCCATTTTCCGCAATCTTGGGGACCTTGTTAGTCCCAGACTTGAAGGAAGCATTCCCTCTGCCCCCTCTACCACCAGGCAAGAGCATCGCTTTCTGTCCCGGATACACCATCTCCAACAACACATTATCCTCACCACTCATTCTCACAAGAGTTCCAGGTGGCACCTTCACCACCACATCCTCCCCCTTTGCCCCATTCTGCATACTCCCCTGCCCGTGGGACCCCCTCCCTGCCCGGAAATGCACGCTGTTCCGAAACGGCAACAGCGAGTTCATCGCCCCGTCCACTTCCACGTACACGTCGCCCCCCCTCCCTCCGTCGCCCCCCGACGGCCCCCCCAGCGGCACGTACTTCTCCCGCCGGAACGCCACCACGCCGTTCCCGCCGTCGCCCGCCTTCACGTATATCTTCGCCCGGTCGAAGCACCGCATCACCGCCGGCACGCCCTTCTCCTTCACGTCCGGTGACTCCCCCTCGCCCTCCCCATCCGCAGTCTCGCCGGCCGAATACTCGAAGGCCTCGTACTCGCCGTCGCTTTCGGATTCGGAATCGGCATTGCCTTCGAAAATCGTGCTCTCTTTTTGGCGGTTGCGGTGGAGTTGAGTAAGCGGCGGCGCCGTTTCGGAGAGCTTGATTTCGGAAGAGGTGAGAGGGGAAGGAGAGGAATAGTCGTGCTTGAGCGGGAGGCGAGTGTAGGTGGTGGCTTCGCCGCCGGGGAGTGCTACCGGCTTCTGAAATTTAGGGTTTGGTGTTTTACTGCGATTGGCGTTGCGACGAGCGAAGGCGTTGGGAGTGAAGAACACTGCAGCAGCCATCTTTGGCGAACTAAACTCAACATCTCAACACGATTATTTCAAAACTCCAAAATATCCACTGGATAAGGCCACACGTGTTACAAACTCAATATATGTTGTTGAGTTAAATCATTTTTCATTATACCTTCATTTATATTTTTTATTTTATAATATATAATGTAATTTCATCTAATATCGTTGTGACCTTAATATTTATTTTTTGTTGCTTGGTTTTTTCAATTTTTTTTATTACAAAAATAAAAATTAAGACAAGATTACGAAAGAGTTGTGTGAAACTCATGTTTAAAATATATAATAATTTTTAAGTCTAATAGTAAAGTTTGTCAATAGTTGTCTATATAAAGTTATTATGATGATTTTTGTTAGTAAAGAACTTTACACTATAAACCTTGCTTAGGATGAGAAATATTCTTGTTTCCTAATTTAAGCTACGTATTAAAAGTCTAATAAAGGAATTAGAAGTCGATCGGTTAAAATTAATTATTTTAATTACTATCTCGTAGTCTATTTTGAAGATTATGTAATAAGAGATTAGTTTTATAGAAAGTTTAAACTTGTAGATAAATCCTACAATTTGTCTATAATGTATTGCAATTGTATGTATTGCAATTGTTAACATTGTGAAAAAATTTCTTAATGAACTGCGTCATGTTATCTCAAATCAATTTTTTGTATGCTAAGTTTTTATCATAAGTATTGTGGAAACATGGGATTTATCAATGTTAATTTTAAGAAATTTGTTTGGGTATATTGTTTGGTGAAGTTGCTAAAAAAAATTATCAATGTAACAATCTAAGTTGTTAACTTTAAACTTCAAAAAAATTATAAAGTTTTATCTAAAAGACATTATCCTTTCTATCCTTCCACGTGTTCACGTGAAAATCCCATAGAATGTTGCTCCCTTTCCATTGTATACATAACTTACCTTTTCATCTTCAATGAGTTAATCCACGCATGCAACTCATGACAAAAAAGTTTTGTTTTTGGTAGAAGATTTAACCAAATGAAACTATTATTCTCAAACACCTTTGCAATTTTCAACCACATGCATGATGGGTTTAGAAAAATTTGACATCATAGACAATAGAGATCTATTGTCATGTTGTGATAAGTTTTTTTTCTCATTCATAAGAAGTTCACCATGTATTTGTTTTCAAACGAAAATCCTCACTTTATGAGGACATTCTAACATTAAACACCATCAAATAAGAGTAATGATAGTTGAACACTTTGTTATTTGTATATCTCACTAACACCTATCATTTTTCTCTATATGTTTATTCTTGTCATATCCATGTTTTTCTCTTCTCTTTCTTTCCTTTGTAGATGACAAATAAGTTGTATGAATGTACTATAATAATTTTTTTTGTTAAATAATTGGGCCCTATTAGTTATTAGTAAGATGACTCGAGTTAAAAGTGTTCATCAAATATAAAGGATCAATACATAAAGTCATTATCATTTAGAAAAAGTGAGGCAAAAAAATATAATCTCACCATGTGTGTCTTGACGAATAACTTATTAAAATTGAATAAAAACCTTATTATTAATATCAACATTGGAGTGATTCTACATTTTGTTTCATTAGATAGAATATTCATGTGAAAGTTATCGATCAATATTTTTGTTCTAATAACATCAATTGTTCCAAAACTCTATTATACTCCTAACTAAAATTGGCCTCTACCATGAACCAATTGTGGGACAACGGGATGACTCCCATAAAAGGAATACTTTATTATAAAAAAAGATGTAAAATATTATTTATCAAAGTATAACAATTTTTTATATTTAAATTAATTAATATATTTGTTAATAGAGTTAGTGAATAAGAAAATAATTTAATTAATGAGAATTTATTTTAAAAATAACATTTTTCACAACCCTTTGAGAGAATGATTTAAAAAAAATAGAATATTAAGAAATGAATAAAATATAATATAAATAATTAATTTTGTTAAAAACGTATAAAAATAATATTCTTCTTCATATAATGTGAAAAAGATGTAGTACTAAGTACTAACATACAAACATTAAAAAAAAGAGTAAAGTATGAAAGAAAAGCGTAACTATTGACTGTCGTGGCGAAAATAATTCCGATTCCGATGTTTGGTCAGTGTCGCAGGGCACTGCTCTGCAACCTAAACCCTAAACTAAACCCCTTCACTTGTCTTCAATCCTTCACTTCCTCTGCGCAACAAGAAGCACACTCCTTCACCTACGCCTACCTCCTCAACAACTGCGGCTTCCCACCCAAGACAGCCTCCCACCTCTCCACCCGCCTCCGCCTCTCCTCCTCCGCCACCCCCGACGGCGTCCTCGCCCTCTTCCGCTCCCACGGCCTCTCCGCCGCCGAAATCCGGCGCATCGTCGAGACCTACCCGAACCTCCTCCTCCACAAAAGCCTCCAGCCGAAATTCAGCTTCCTCCGGTCGAAGGGCGCCACGGACTCGGACCTGGTCCTGATCATCACCAAAAACCCTAGAATCCTCCACTTCTCCCTCCCCCCCCGCTACCACCTCATCCACCGCTTCACCCTCTCCGACTCCTCCACCCTCTGCGCCATCAAGTCCTGCCCCAGCATCCTCTACTCCAACAATCCCTCTCGCAACATCGACACCCTCCTCCGCCACAATGTCCCCCATTCCAAAATCTCCATGCTCCTCCGCTACTGGGCCTCCTCCCTCGTCGCCGCCCACCCCTCCTTCCACGCCGCCGTCCTCCAAGTCCTCAATCTCGGCTTCAACCCCAACCAAACTCTCTTCCTCGTCGCTCTCCGCGCCAAGCTCGTCAGAAAATCCCTCTGGGATAGCAAAATTCAGCTCTACAAGAAATGGGGTTGGTCTGAGGAGATTGTGCTGTCCACTTTCTTGAGGAACCCGTGGTGCATGCTCGCTTCCGAGGCCAAGATCGAGGCCATGATGGGGTTTTGCGTCAGGGAATTGGGCTGGGACTCGTTGCTTCTGGCCAAGCATTCCGTGCTCATTGCGCTCAGTTTGGAGAAGAGGGTTGTTCCCAGGGCTTCTGTGTTGAGGTTTCTTCTGTCCAAAAGGTTGCTTAAGGATGTTAATTGGGCTGCTGCGTTTATCGCTTCTGAAGATGTCTTCTTGAAGAAGTTTGTGCTTTGCTTTCACAAGGATGCGTCTCAGCTGTTGAAGCTCTATCAAGAGAAAAGAGATGCTCCCAGATAGTAGTTAGTAACATTCTGTACTTTTTACGAGTTTCAATAAATTGCCATTCTTTTTTGCATTGGTCATTGGTTTATTGTTAGTGTTAGTGGTGTGGTTTTTCATGGTTCAATGGAAGCTTTAATTAACATCTGTGGACTGTTTAGGTAAACAATTTCAGAAGTACTTTTAAGAAAGAAAATTAGAAAGGAAAAATAAAATAAGTTTCTTCTTAAGCTAAAATTTGCTTCTCCAAAATCTTATCGCGCATATTAGTTTTATCTTATGAAGAAACTTGTTTTAATTTTTCTTTATATTTATTTTTTCTAAAAGTGCTTCTGGATAAACTTATCCAAGCATGTCCTTGATGTAATTTTTTCCCTGGAGAATGTGTTTCCAACCAAACACAGGCTTAGGAATCTGAATTTTTCTATTTAAACTTGATTCTTCATTGGTCAAAGGGAACCTTGTAACTGTTTAGAACCAAAGTACTTGCCGGAGGAGCCATATGGGTTGATGTGATTATAGATACTTGTTCATTACTCTTCTACCTCGTTTTGTCATATCAGGTGCTTTATCATTTGTATGATATTTTGTTAAGAGGGTTCATGATTTAGAACCTATTTAGATATAAGCTTTCGAGAACTTCTCTACCAGACATAAACAGTGTTTTTCAGTTGAGAAAATCTCAAAATAGTTTCTAAAGGTTGTTAGGCATTGTAGCAAGGTTTCTCTGTATTATTAGACGAAGTTATTATCTGGTGAAATTTGAGGTATATTGTCTGTTGCTTTTCAGTTAATATTACTGTATTATTTGAGGTACAATTATTTGCTGTATTATAATCTTAACATGATAGACACTTGTAACTTAATCATAAGTTGCAGCATATGAGATCAGAGTTGCTTCTGCTGTCTGCAAATCACTATACTTCCAGAGAATGCGGTTATATGGTTGGTGAATCATATGGTTCTTACTCAATCTGGTTAGACATGAATCAGGTTTTGATTTCTGACAAGTTCAGCACACTTGAGAGGTGAAGGACTTGGTAAAATTAAGATCCTGTATCTGGTTGAGATCGAAAGTGACCCATTTCAATTATTCCTTTTGATGCTGGGCACTCTTGGAAAGGTATAGACCTCAAAAAAGTCCGAATCTTATTCACAGGCTGACTTCTATTTTGCATTTATGGGGAATTCCAAGTCATGCTTCATGTGTCCCTCACGTACATTACTGTGGTGATTCTGACTTTTTTGTCACTGCAAGTCCAGGCTAATGATATTTTTCCTCTCTTACAAAGTATCTATTGTCAAAAAAAGTTACTAATTTTCATTAAAAATTATGAGCACACACAAGATGATTATTTTTATCTTAATATAATTTATTTCATATCTAAAGTGAAAATTAGAATTATAAATAACTTAGTTAAGAGATATAAGTTATTATTTAATGATAGGAATTCATGCAAATGGTATATGAACATTAATAAGAGGAGGTGCAGGTTCAAGTGTTGGTGTGCTCTACTTATGGTTGGTTATCAAGCTTGGGTTGAATATGGGATCGTGAGGGAAATTTGTTGGCACTACACTTATAGAACCAACTCAACCAGATTCATACTTGTACCCGAATCTGTGTTGTATTTTCCATCTCAGTACCGGCGTAACTAACTTAGTTCCATTTGAACCTGTATCAGAATCCGCAGCACAACAATCGGTTGTTAAGGGATCCAAAATGACAGCCTTACCAGCATCACCATCTCGATAACTAGAAAACTCTTGATCCCAAGAGGCCGAGACTGTATAACCACTGCGTGTGATCCTCCAACATAGGTTCCTAAATGGCAAACCCAATTCATGGACCACCAGCATGAGAACACGGGGTTTACTATGTACTGCAGTGCCGCTTGTATGATTAAAACGCAATTTAGATTCTCTTTTTAACAAACACTTGTTAATAAGAAAAGAAAAATAAGAGTAAATAACTAAAAAGGACTAAAAACAAAAACACTCTATTTTGAATTTTTATATTTTAATTTATGAAAGTAATTAGTTTGATTGTATATCCTGATTCTAATTCTAGCTAGGTAGATTGTAGTCTCTAAACATGAGCCATGATATACACCATAGAAATAGATTGATAATATACCCTATACAGATTGTGATCAATCTTGAGATTCTTCAATTACATTTGAAAATAATTCAATTTTTCAGGTAAATTTTATTTTTTAAGATTATCCGATATGATTGATTTTCAATATAAAAAAAATGTAACTATCAATGTACAAATAATATTATTTATACGAAAGGATTACAAAGTAATTTATGAAAATCTTGTGTCAAAATAACACAATATCTATTAGAGTGGGGATGATTTTCCCTCCGCAATTACAACTTAGAATTGTAAAATTAACTTGACATCAATACAATTCTAAACCTATCTAATAAATTATTTAAAGGTAAACAAAATGAAAATCCATCCTATCACTGTTGCAACTACCAATCAAGAATAAAGAACAAATTTTAGCGTCAGTAATTATTGGTAACAATGTATATCTTTTAAGTTTTAAATTTCATGAGTTCAAGCACTAATAATATCAAATGTCATCGGATTAATTTGATGCAACTTGAGCACAATTTGCCACTATTTTTCAAACTCTTCAACTTGGTATATCTCTTCAAATTGGCATGAACTACACAAAATCATATTTTTATAACAATGACAAAAATAAGATTGATACATAATATATAAAATGAAATGAAACTTATTAAAATAAGGAATTATGCGACCCTAAAATATTAATTAAAGCCATACTCTAGATCTCCTAAATGTAGAAGAGGAATACTTAGAATAGATTGTCATTTTGTGTATCTTCTAGGATCTATTAATGGGGTTTATTAGGTAACTAATTAGAAATTAAGTGTAATATAACATGCACAACAACGGATAATTGAAGAAATTTATGGGACTATCTTATAAAGATAATATAATATACTCAATAAATGTTGTTATTTATTTATTTTATATAATCGACTTCATTTGAAAATACTACGGGAAATATGAAGTTAACCTAAATTGGTCGGTGTAATTTATATGTTATGAAGTTAACTTAACTCGATCAAAACAATTTATAATTATTTATAACACAATTTATTTATTTATTTTTAACACCACAACACAATTTAGTTAACAACCATCATTTAACATTTTGAAATTTTCTATATTATGTATCTCACTTTTCACCTTAAATAATCTATCTATTAATATACAATTCATCTAACATAGATAACCTTTTGAATGAACTTCACTAACATTGAGAGAGATAATTTAAAAATTTGTATAAAATGCTATAAAACAGGTAATCTTTGAAAATCACAAGATAAAACTTAGAATCAATATCATTTCACTTTTTTTTTCTTTCTCAAAAGGTTATTTCTCTTTTTCTCCTTAACTGCAAATGCAAAAGGTTAAAATAAAAAATAAATATTGGATGAAAAAGGAAGAGTAAACAAGTCTCAAATAAAAAATTATTGTAAAAAAAAAAAATACAAATCTTTGAGTACATTATAGCCAGCAATTAATGTCACTGGAAATTAAACATTTTGATTTTTGAATTTATACAAGTATTGGGCAGTAATAAAGATGACAAACAAATGACACTTGTTGTTTAGCCACATAAATCTGTAGAAGTACTGATTACTACAATAAATACTTCAAGCACTTCATCTTTATAACACTTTATATCTAGCCGAATATTTTTTTTTCTTTTTTAAAACTATGAAGAAAAAACGGTACAATTCACACTGAACTTTCCTGAATTTAAAACTTTTCACCAGGCCCTCAAAATTTTAGGGTAACAATGACCAAATCAAATTCCAAATATATTTGAAATAAAAAAATTCCCACATTAAAAAACACATTCTAAACTATGATTAAAAAATATTGAATAGAAAACCACATAAGTTGTGATCTATATTGATATTGAACAAAAAACCACATAAGTTGTTACCCATTGAATCAGGTTGAAGCCCTTTGATTTGAGAGAGAGAGAGAGGGAGAGAGTGAAGGTTGTATTTCAAAAAGAAGAGCTTAGAGCGCGTTGAAGCGCACACTCAACCCAACCATGGAAGTTCCCAAGGATCAAATCGCTACTCTCCTCGAACATGGCCTCTACAACTCCGCTCAGATGCTCGTAATCCTTCTTCTTCTTCTTCCCCTTTCAATTCGCATTTTAAATATTTCTGATTCCGCACCAAAAATCGTTGCTTTTTGATTTCTTGATTTCTGGGTCGGAGCTCTAATCCCAAGTTGCTGTGTTGAACAGGGTTGTTTTCTTGTCTCTTCGCCTGCTGCAAATGCTGAATCTGCCCCACACCTCAAAACTGAGAGCTTGGTCTCTGCAAAATTTCATTTTTTTTTAATTTTAAATTTTTTAATTTTATAATTTCAAAGGTATTGAATTTTCAATGTTTGAGGAGCTCATTCAAGTTTTCATGTTGGTTATTTATTTATTTGTGCAGGTGCTTCTGGGTGATTCTTTCTTCCGAGAAAGGGAGTATCGTAGAGCCATTGTAAGTGACTGTGCTATCTCTTTCTCCCTTTTGTATATGCAGTTGGCAACCATTTCTTGTTCTTTATTGTATTATCTTAAAGCTTTTGTGAAATGGGTAATTCAAAAGTTGTCTTTTTGGGGGGAGAGGTGAAGTCTTGCTGTTATTAATTATTATTTCTTCTGTTGATGAACAGCACACCTATAAGCAAGCTTTGCAATGCTACAAGATGATTCCAAAACAGAACATGTCGTCTTCTCGGAGTTCGTTGGCTTCGAACCGGTCTTCATCTCCAAATTCTTGCAATGGATCGGTGATCAATGAGAATGAGGTAAACTGGTGTTTTATGTTTCTTTGGTTCATGATATATGAATTGGCTTTATGTGATTTTAAGGTTTCTCAAGTTCAGGTTTTTATCGGGCCTTTTTTTATTTTTTATTTTTTATTTTAACTCTTTAACAGGTGAAGTTCAAAATTGCATCATGTCACTGTTCTCTGAATGAGAATAAAGCAGCTCTAGTCGAGGTTTGTTTGTTCTCTTATCTCCTTTCTGCAGACCAGACTTGTGAGAGTGCATGCTCATTGACAATTTTTTTAAGAAAATCCCTGTTGGTGTAGTGTAAAGTGAAGGAGTGCCAATTCTCTATTTATGGGGACATTAACATTATCAATGAAAACAATGAGCCTAGTATGGCTATATTGTGCATTTTTGTCAGTTCAGGATGTGGCATTTTTTAGTTAGAAACAAAGGACATGAAATTTTGTTTACATTCTTGGTTTGTTTTCAATTTTGTCATTCCTTATCAGTTATTTGTGTCACTTTCTTGTTACAGATGGAAGCAATTCCAAGCAAAGCTAGAAATTTACCAATGAATTTGTTATTAGGGAAGCTATACAGAATTTCTAGACATAGCCGGGCTGCTGTTGCTATTTACAAAGAATGTCTAAGGTTTGTAAATATCTTATACAATGATTGAACCATTGATATGTCACCAATAGGTTACGTTTCAGTTTGAATGCTTTTATGTATCTATTTTTATCAATTTTAATTTATTTGTTGCAAATCCATTTCATATTGACCTTCAGCTTTCAGGCATGATGTCCACTAGCATCCTTATGCCCAAGTGATAGCATTTGCTCTTTCAAACACACAATTGTTATGTTTGTTCATCCAGTGACGTATTTGTTTTTGTTGTCTTAGACATAGAATCTTTGATTGTTAATATTGAATAATAGAATAGGAAATGACGTAGTGTATGAATAAATTCTCTCAAAATATATGGGATGGAGGTAAACACCTTATCATGGTGAAAACAACGCTGACAAAAAATAGAAAAATCCCAAATAACTGAGACCGAGAGGGATGCCCCACAGCTCCTCCAAGCATCCATAACCATCCCCCCTTCCTCCTGTTAATTCCCCCCTTGTATTCTATATCACACTCCCCTCCACTTCCCATGATTTCCGCACCTTCTTCCCCCTCTCTATGCTTGCCATCTGTACATTCAGTTACAACTCTGCCTTTCCCTTTTCTAAATTCCACCTCAGCTGCTATAGTCAAGCCCAAATTGTCTTTTGGCCTATTCCTCTCCCACTCTCCCTTCAGTGTTTTTCTTTCCCCTTCTCCTATATACTTGCGAAATGGGCCTAACATCGATGAACCTGTTGAAGTAGTGTGATTACTGCATTTCTGATATAGGGTTTGGGCAAATAATTTGCTTTCAGATGTCTGCTACAGCCATGTAAATAACCTCAATTTACGTTGTGCTGGGTGCGATTTTAAAAACTACATACATATGCTGGTATCAGACTTCTCTCTTCTTTGTTGTTTTATATCCTCTTAAAGCTTGTATATCATTTGCATTTTATTATGAAGCTCCTTTGCATTTTTTTAATTCTGATTGCTTGCTTTCTCTTTTGGAAGTATTGATTGTGTTATGGACTTATGTAATTGGCTACTTTCTTTAAACTTGTGCATTTGCTTCTTTCATATGATCTATATTATTCATTTACTATTTTTTAATTTGCTACTTGAGTTTAAGATGATATTCTTTTTTGATGTCTTTTTGCCAGACATTGTCCTTATGTACTTGATGCAATCACAGCTTTAGCAGAACTGGGATCTACTGCAAAGGACATCATTTCGTTGTTTCCACAGGTTTGTTGATGAAAAGCTGGAAGAAATTTGTGTGAAAAAATCTAAATAGAGATTCAGCCATTGACCATCTTCAAGATGATCCTTGATATGCAATTGGGTAGTCATTAAATTATGTTATTTCTTCCTCTTTAGGCAATTAGATACCCGGCAACAAAAAATAGATAAACTTTACCCTGTAGGCTGATGTGTTCTATATTGCTGAGTTAGGAGGATGGGGTATTTATACGCCTCAGCCCTTTGGGTTACGAAATCACTCTCCTTAGATGGATTTTGGTTCCTTTCCCCTTTATTAATTAGATTTACCACATTGGAATACTTTCTGTTTTGTGGCCTGATAACCTTTATGTGTGATAATTCTGTGCATGAAGTTACATGAAGCTAAGCTAACTACTTGACAATCAGTCTCATTAGAATACCTTAGGTAGCATTTGTGACATTTCTTTTGTATATTTAATTGCCTGGATTTACTAATAACTCATTACCTTTTATCATGAAATATTTTAATTTTTTTTTAGTTGATCCATTTGCAAAATTGCAGTTTAATTGTAATTTAAATACCCTCCAAGGAAATAATTAGTGTGCAAATATTTACTTTCAGACTCTGAATAGAAGTGGTAGAGCTCCATTTGATCACTCTGACTCAAGTCGTTGGCTTCTAGTAAGTTATACTTAATACTCAATTCTTTTGTTTGTTGTGTGCTTTAAAGTACTTGCTACCATTTATCCCTTCAGAGATTTTTCAATAAATGTTAAGCCTCCATAGATGTATCATTCTTAATCTACACTGTGTATGCTACATCAAATCCTTGAGAAGCAACAAAAGATGATTGCTAGTCTAATAAGTTTGATATTTATTGATTATTTTGATGGTTTGCTGGTACATCTAGAATATATTGAGCTTGGCTAGTTGATATCCACATCTCAATGTAATAATTGGTTGCAATTTGCAATGTAAAATCCAGTCATTCCAAATCAATTTTATTTTTGTATGTTTATCAATTGTCGTGCCAGATACTGATGCTTTTGTTACAGGATGATGTTCTTGGCTTTCTAATAAGCATGATAATGACTTGGGAAGGGTTATGCATTTTAATTGCTAATTTTTTCTTCTTCCTTAGTATTGTTCTTAATGATGAAACTTGTTGGAAAGTCCCATATCGCTTGCCTCAATTCTTGGGATACGCTGGTACAGCTCATATATCTGTTGGTGTTGGGAAATCTCAACTAATGCCAATTAGTTTTAAGATGAAATCTAACATGGTCCCACATCGCCCACCTCAATTCCTGGGTTGTGCGTGTGGCTAACATAACTGTTGGAAAACTCTACCTAATGCCAATTTATTTTAAGATGAAATCTAATATGGTCCCACATTGTCAGCCTCAATTCTTGGGGTGTGGCTTATAATTGAGAAACTTCACCTAATACCAATTGGTTTAAGATGAAATCTAAACTTGTGGGCCCATACCAAACTTAAGCTTTTGGGGGAGTTGGCTTTTAACATGGTATCAAAGCCTGTATACCTTGATGATCAATATTTTGATCCTTTTTTCCTCCTTTTTTAATTCTTAAATTGAATTTCAATCTGATTCAAGCTTTCAAGTTAAAAGGGTTTCTGCATGAAGGGGGCCTGCTAGAGAGAAAAATAATCAGTATTGGGCTGTAACTAACAACTTTGGCTTTAATTATAGTTGGATCTGAACAGAACTGATAGTTAATTATGATTTAATTCCCATCATATGTTGCCTGGTTCAAAATAGTATTTGCTGAGGCATGAGGATATTAGTTAATAAATTCTAACCTTTTTCTTCTTTTATAGTTAATCTTATCTTTCCATATATTTTGCAATTGACATGTAAGATTTAAGCATACACCAAAACTATCAAGGAAGGTTCAAGGTTATATACTATATCAAACAATTTTATTTTCTAAAGAAAATAATCATAAATATAGGCATGATAAAGTTGGAAAATTAGTTTGTTTATGATTCTGGTTTAATTTTGGCATCGTCTGGTTCATGGATTATGTTTGTATACAGGCAGGCAAAATGTCGGAACTACTGACTAATTTTTCCTCTTCTATTTGCAGCGGTATGTTGAAGCTCAATGTTGTATAGCTTCAAATGATTATAAAGGTGAGATATTCTATTTTATTCGGAGTCATTTGATTATTGATTCCATGTTTGCATGTTGAATGCTTGGAGCTGAAAAATCTCATAAGTCAAATGTGTTTTATGGGCATAGCCCTTGGGCCAATTTCTGACAGATTTACAAAATAATACATTCTACCGTAAATTGTTTGTGTTTATGTGGCTCATTTTTCTGCATTAGCTTCTTGTCTTCTAGTTTTGAATTTGATCAAACTTGGATAAAATCTTAATGAAAAAAGAGATTTTTTTGGATTGCTTATATTTTGTTATTTCTACTTTCTACTATCTTCAGTGATGTGTGTTTGACACTGACACATCCAGTTTTACTTTGTTTCCAATGTTGGCAGGTGGATTGGAACTCTTTGCAGATCTTTTACAGCGTTTTCCTAATAATACACACTTACTACTTGAGATGGCTAAGGTAGGCTTGCTACACTGATATAGAACCAGTGTAATATAATCTTCCAACCAGGCTGATTATGCACCTATTTCTAACTTTTCCCTTTGGACTCTCAGGAAAGCTTTGCTTTCTAAAGCTACTGTTGTGATAGATGGATTTAGCTCCTCTATAAAGTGAGTAATTCCCTTTGGAGAGAAAAGTAAAACATCTCAACCCTTAATGAAAAAATTAATATAGTAGATTTTATCAAATCCATGTTTGTAATGCATTTAAGTGATATCAAGTCAACTATTAATTTTTTCATTAATGATTGGGATTTCTTACTTCTCCCTCCGAAGTGAGAACTAGCTTTAGAAGAACCAAATTTGTGACAGAAAATCGATGCTATTCCCATGAGTTGGTTGTCAGAAATTTTTTAGCAAGTGATGCACTACTTTGACTGCCCGCACTTTTCCCTGATAATTAATTTACTTGAAGTTTCCTTAAATTGATTGCTCAAGGTCTAATTTCTGATGTATATTGTAAATGAAGGTTGAAGCTATTATTGGAAAGAATGAAGAGGCCATTATGAATTTTGAAAAGGTAATGCAAAATTATAGCATATTATGTTAATGTATTTATCTGTTTCTCTACCTGCTTATTTATTTGTTTAGTGAGCTTATTATAATCACATTGATAATTTGATGATCACAGGCCCGGTCAATTGATCCATACATCATAACATATATGGATGAGTATGCAATCCTTCTAAAGCTGAAGTCTGAGTATCCAAAGCTGAACAAGTTAGTGCACGATTTATTGAATGTTGATCCTGGAAGACCAGAGGTTTTTGTAGCTTTGTCTGCTTTATGGGAAAGGAAAGATGAGAAAAAAGCATTACAATATGCTGAGCAGGTGTGTATTTTCATTTGATGCAGATTGGATTGAATTATTTTATCTATTATAAAATTGCTTGCAATTGACTGATCATTTTGCAATTAGAGTATTCGGATCGATGAGAGGCATGTAACAGGGCATCTAATCAAGGTAATAATATGGTTTTGCATCATATGAGGCATGGGCCATGCCACATGAGGGTATATTTACCCTATATGTTTGTAGAGGGTGATAGCAAAGCATTTTCTAACTTGTTGGGTTTATTCAGGGAAATTATTTATTGACCATGAAACGGGCAGAAGCAGCTTTGTCTGCCTTCAGAGCAGCTCAAGAATTGAGACCCGATATTCGTGCATATCAAGGTTTATTTTATACTGGAAAAATATATGGTTGCATGGTTTGCATATCTTTCCTGCAATGACATTTATGTATCCTGCTGCCAATATCTACTGCAAAATGCTGATAGAAGAAATTAAAATTTTTTACAGACTTTGACATGAATCTGAATATTGCAGGTTTGGTTCATACATATTTGACACTCTCTAAAATCAAAGAGGCTTTATATGCATCAAGAGAAGCAATGAAAGCAATGCCTCAGTCAGCCAAGGCTTTGAAATTAGTAGGTGATGTGCATGCCAGTAGTTCTAGTGGCAGAGAAAAGGTAAGTTGTCAGCCCTTTAAAATTAGCATCTATTGACTACTATCTTTGCTTTCTTGTGTGTGAAATATAATGCATTCTTCATAAAGGCAAAAAAGTTCTATGAATCTTCACTAAGGCTGGAACCTGGTTACCTTGGAGCTGCACTAGCTTTGGCAGAGCTCCATGTCATAGAGGGCCGAAATGGAGATGCCGTGTCTCTGCTTGAGCGATATCTTAAAGACTGGGCTGATGATTCTCTTCATGTAAAACTTGCACAAGTTTTTGCAGAAACTAACATGCCGCAAGAGGCTTTGTCACATTATCAAGCTGCATTAAGGTTGATCTCCTATCCCTACAGTTGAGCATATCCGTGTGATGTATGCCTGCATCCAAGGACGGAGCCAAGGGGGGACCTACGGGTGCCACGGCCCCCCCAACAATTTTAATTTTTTTTTATATACATATATATTACTATATGGCACCCCCTATTTTTAATATAAACTCATATGTATAATTAAATGAATAACCCAAATTTATTTTTTTATTCAACTTTTGGACTTCTGGTACGGCCTGCTATGTGGTATCACTTTGGAATTTTTTTTTTTTTAAAAAAATGTAGCGCCTCATTTGATCATTCCAATTCTCGGCCCCCCAGTATTGAAATCCTGGCTCCGTCCATGCCTGCATTCATTATTTTACTACTCTTCTACTTCTAAGCTTTTGCATAAATGGCAGGTTAAACCCTCAGAATGAAGCAGCAAAACGGGGTTTGGAGCGTTTAGAGAAGCAAATGAAGGTTTGTTATTTCTATTTATTATTTAACACATTTTTCTAAATAATTTGATGCTTGATTATATATCTCCCAACTAATCACACATTTCTCACTCTTCATTACTGCTGGTTTATGTTATCTGAAATAGGCATATTATAGTCCAAAACTATAATTTGGTCTAATCCATTTATTAAATTATCTGAAATAGATGCATTGTACAAATTAAAAGTGTTCAAGAGTTTCTCTAATGAATTTTTTTTATATTTTTAATAAATAAATTCACAAAAATTCTTTTAAACTTGTATCCCAACAAACTCAGTCCAAAATTTTAGTCTTGAAAAGTTGAGTTGGAATAAAATTTGTGATTTTGCATCCTTTGTAGGGAGTGGATCCTGATGCACCTGAAGAAGATGAAGATAATGATGTTGAAGATGCGGATGGAGATCAAGATGAGACTGAACTTCTTTGAGTATCAGTGTCCAAGGGAAGTCTGTTATGATGAGAACAGTGCCCTGGAAATAGTTTAATGTTGAGACAGCATTAGCAGTAGGGGGTGAGACTTACCTTGGTGGCCTGCAGGCTGTTTGTCTTAACTACAACTGTTCACATCAGAAAACAAAGCATTTCACACTGTTGCATCTGGTGATCATTGGTTAAACCCTGAGGCTGTAAAAATATGGATTGGATGGTGTAATTTCCTGTCCAGGTTGTAAGGCCAAAGATGTTTCAGCTGGAAGCTAAGCTTGTGTAATCTCCATTGTAAATTTTTTTGTTCTTGAATTTAAGTTTGTAAAAGTTGTGATAAGTTTGGTAAAAAATTTAGTTAAGTGAAAGCTCTAGACAGTCTTCATTCACTTTCTGTAACTCCTGTAAAACAGTTGTCCATTTAATTGTTTTCATCACGAGTCAAAAATCTGAGATTCTATGTAAGCTTTGTATTCCTTGTAGTCTAGCTAGGTGAAAGAGTAAAAAATGTGTCACAACTCAAATGAGTGGCCACAGAAGTTGGGCAACTTCATCACTGCAAAGTAAAGAGTTGTTCAAATTCAATCTCTTTCACTTCAATTTTTATATACTTGTCGGTTCCTATTTTACTTTTGCAACCCATACTTCTCCAGGCGACTTTATTTTATTTATGTAAATACTTTCTTTTTACATTTACTCTAATCGCGTAACATGAGTGCAAATGTTGCTTAATTTTCTGTAATTTAACATATGGTGTAATTTCATTTCGATTTTCGTGTATATACAATTTTAACATTTTTAAATAATACAACATTGTATTAATATTTAAACGTTTTAACATAAAAATAGATTATGTCCATTATCTATTCCATTATTACATATACTAATATTCCATATTACATTTACATATTTGAATGATGTCTGCTTCAAAATAAAGAGAACATAAAGGGCATCTCTCAAACTTCCATTCATTTTTAAGGTTTTTATCAATACACTTTTTGCTTTACCTTCTCTTTCATCGACTTTTATTTATATCTATATCATATATAAAAGTAATAGTTTGATTTACTGTATACATTTTTTTAAATAATTTTATTTTTAATCTTTTAAATAATAAAAAATAATATGAAAAGTTAATTATTCTTATAATTACAAAACTTGAACCTAAGATCTTAAGGTTTGAAAATCAAGTAACAATTAATCTTAATAATTCTTAAATATTTTTATTAAATAAAATATAGAAATATGAAATGTCTTGATCTCACAATATAATATACATAAAAATGAATAAAAAATTATAGTAATTAAATTTAATATATATTATAAAGATTAAAATAAAATCTCAATAATTCAAATATTAACTTTTTCTTATAAAGATCATGTTTTAATAAAGGTAATCAATATTCAATTATAGAAGTTAATTTCTTTGTCACAAGTGTCTCATAAATACATAAATTTCTTGTTATATGGATTTAGTAGTTGGAGATTTGAATTTGTCTCGTTTGAATGCAAATTTGATGTCATGCATGTTCAAAAGTAGAATCATTTGATAAAGTAATGTTATAGTTAGTCCATATAATATTTAAACAATAAATTTTTTCATGCTTGATCTATTTTTTTATTGATTAGAATTATAATGACATCATCATGCTTGAATCTAAGACCCTATACATAATATTATAATTTATCATGACTTGATCTATTCTTTACAATAATTTTCTTAAATTTGTTTAATATACTTTATTTTATTATTTTTGAATCATAAATATTTGTATTTAATATGCATGATGATAATATGATATTTCATTGAGTCTTGTGTGACATGCATTATATGCATATAAATTGACAAATTGAAAAATTGATATATATAAATATATATATTATGTATATTTATTGACGCCACACACATATACAAATTGTAATTTGTGTCCACGACATCTTGTATGGGAATGTGTATTGTGTGAAATGATGTGGCAAATTGTGGATGATCTATTTGTACCTTGTTAACAATTTAATTGTATATGTAAATATGATGATGATGATATCTTGTTATTGTGTGTTGGGTTATACAACCTTATTCTATGTCGCAAGCTAGAATGAGATATTTCTCACTCTTCATTTTTTGTGATGTTCTATATATATGTTGTTACAGGTGAAACTCATCACGATGTTGATGATATTGATGACAATACTTAAACTTTGTGTTGGGGGCTCTAATAAGATGTGATATCAAGACATAGTTAGGACATGATATTCATGTTGTTTAGCCGTATTTAGGGACATAGTCTTGGATTTATTTTATAGTGTCTTAGTATAGGTTATTGTTGGATTTAGTGACATGTTTATTTGTTATATGATGTCCTCCTCCAGAGTTGATACTACTTGTTTGGTTATTTATGCATGAACTCAATTTTTAGTTAAAAAAGAGCATTTTTATTATAGTTATTATGTATGCGATAGAAAGTGTCACACTCTATCTGTGTGTATATGTAAATGCTTTATCTTTATGTGTGTCGTGTCTTTATCTTTGTATGTTTGTGTGTGTGTGTTTATGTCTCTATGTGTGTTCATATTTATGCTTTGTATTTGTGTTTGTGTGTGTGCTCTATCCTTGTCTCAATGTTTATGTGTGTGCTTAGCGTTTATCTTTGTCTTTGTGTGTCCCTTTGCATGAGTTGTGTTTATATTTGTGTCTTTGTGTGTGTATGCATATCTTTGTCTTTATTTGATTTATCTTTATCTTTTGTATCTGTCTATATTTGTGTGCGCGCTTTATTTGTCTCTGTGTTTGGATGTGTATTTGTATTTGTGTGTCTTTATCTCTTTGTGTTTGTATCTCAAAACACCTAAAACTAAAAAAAATACTCAATTAGTTAACAAGACAAAATTAAAATACTAATTTTTTATTAAAAAAAATTACTCTAAAGTATAAGATATGCTCAAATAATTGCTTAAATTGGATAAAAAATATTCACATATTTGACAATTATCATCATACTTGATATAACTTTTTTTTTTTTATCAATTAGAATTACAACGATAACATCAATCTTTAAATCTAAGACTCTATATATATTATTCCAACTCACCACCACTTGATCTATTTTTTAACATGCACATATGATTTTTATTCTATTTAAGTAAAATATAATTTTAATTAAAAAATATATAGATTAAAATTAATCTTATAGATAATTTTCTTACATTTTATTTTTATTATTTATAAATTTTGAATCATACATATTTGTATTTATATATATATATATATATTTAAATTCAATATCATATAGTCAAATATGTTTCTGTATCTTGTATTTACAATGTAGACTAATTTTTTATTTTAATATCTTATTTGTAAAAATATATTGTGTGATCATCGTCCTTCACAAAAAAAAAACCTTTTAGTCTCATTTGTGAAATTTTATGAATAAGAAAAAAAATAATAATTAAAATCATAATTAATCTTTCTTTTGGTTTGAATATTTTTTTAATTGCATTAAATTTTTAATTTTTAATATTTTTCATTAATATGTAATACTATATCATTTTCACTATCGTTATGTTTTATGTGATGGAAGTAATTAATTTTTGCTTTTGAAAAAAAAAGTGTTATACGTGATACTTGTCATTCACAAAAAAGAAAAGTTATTTTTCTTATATAACACGTTTTTGTGTGATAAATTTTAGTGATACTTTCTCTAACACTTATTATTTCCTGAAATTTATTGAAAATAATAAATTTTGGTGAGAAATCATCAACATTTGTGATTTTTAATAAACTTTATTTAATAATAAAGAGTGTTAAAGAAAAAGTGTTATTATTATTTTTTTAAAAATAAGAGAACAATTTATTTATTTTTATCAAATACGAATTAGAAATTTTATTAGTCATATTTTTAGCACATTTATTGTTTTTACACCACTCTTAGTATTGTAAATTATTACATTCATTTTTATTTTATTTTTTGAACTGTTTACGTGGTAATATATATATTTTTGTTACTTTTTAATATGCATTATTACATTTCTTTTGAACTAAACTTTCATAATGTTTTTGAAATAAAAGTTTTACAATTTTTTCATAAGATAAATACCAACAATACTTTATTTAACATTATCTTTATAACACTTTCTATTATTACATGAAATTTATTGAAAATTACAAATTTTGAAGAGATGCAAAACTCATCAAGATTTGTGATTTTTAATTTAATATTTTAATTTTCATATTTGTGAAAAAGAAAATATACTTTAAAATGGTCAATTATGTTTTTATGTGTCACAAGTAAACTAATTTTTGCTTTTATTCTCTCATTTATTAAAATTTGATATGTGTAATCGTTGTTATTCACCAATAAAATATATATTTTGGTCTCATGTATGTCGAATTTTTGTAAAATGAATATTTACACTTTTTTTAACACTTCCTTTCTAACACTCTTATTATTGTGTAAATTTTATTTGAAATCTTGATGAGACGTGGGAACCATCAAGATTTTTTATTTCAGCCAATTATACATAGAGTTGGAGACAATATCCCCAATTATTGTGGGGAGGATTGTAGTTTAAATATTCATGGTTTCCATTGAAGTCAAGTTGCTTCTTGCATCTTTTTCTTTTTCTTTTACTTTATTAAATCAATGTAAATATGCAAACTGTACGCTTAATGTGTATAACTACTTTATTTGAGATTTATGTTTATGTTACTCAATTAACGCAAGTTTCGATCAATACTCCTCTTAATGTTTTCACTTGCACACAGTGTGGCAAGTACCAAGTAAAGTTTTTTCCTTTTCTTTTCTACTGTATTATTTTATAAATTTTATAAAGATCATGTTTTAAAACAGGTAATCAATACTCAATCTGAAAAAGTAATTTCTCTGCCACAGATGTCTCATATAAATATATAATTTTTTTTATATGGATTCAATAATTGAGAATTTGAATTTGCCTCATTTGAGCGAAGATTTGATGTCATATATCTTCTAAAAAAAATTATTTGATAAAGTAACATGATAATTAGTCTAAATAATATTTAAACTATAAAGCTTTTCATACTATATATCTGTTTTACCAATTAGAATTCATTTTTTTTATTAATTAGAATTACAATGACTGCATCTTGTTTGCATTGAGAAACATAATATGATAGTGATATTTTATTTAACTTCTTATTAGTAATAATTTATTTTACAGAATATAACCAATTTATAACGTTACCATTTTATGCTAATTTAAAATATCACTTAACTTTATTTCCGATAATTTTGCCAAATTATTATTTTAAAAATTACAAAAAAATAAATCTTATTTAATTATCATTGATTTGATCATGATTTAATTATACATGGAATAGTGAACTCTTGTCTTCACCACTTGAATGACCATCATTCCATGTTTAAACTATAGTGTTTCTGTTAAGTAACAGTGGAGCTCAGTGATTAAAACATGTACAGATCCAATTCTCTCAGCCGATTGGTAGTTCCATTATTTGTGCTGCTTTTTTCTTTGGAGGTCTTCAAAACCATCCTCAAATTGCCCTTTCCTTAACAGATTTTGTCTTTTTGTCTTCTTGGTAGGAGCATTGTCTCATCATTTATGCTGAAATTCATAGGCATAGCATCATTGACCATTCAAAACACTAAACTAGACATGAAAAGGTTTCCTAGGAGTAGGGGCTCGATTTTCCATTGATTGAAGTCTCTGTTTGAGATGGAAAACTTCAACCTATGCACCCAAAAAACATGGCAAAGTGTTAGAGATATCCATGTATGATGAGAAGTGAGAACACTTAAGACATTATTATCAGCTAATGAACAAAAGCATAAAGTTATAAATCAAAGAAAATAAAGCTAGAGTGAAGATTTGTGATCAATCCTAGGATATACCTGTAATTGGAATGCCCTCGTTCTTTCTGCTGCAAGAACCCCTCTGGTTGAGTGTAATTCCTACTAAAAGCTTTTATTAAGTCAATATAGTCTTTATAAAGGTATGCAAGTACTTTCATCAAATGAAGGGTTTATATACCTTTTGTGTATCATCTAAAACAGCCTTGAGGAAAGCCACATCATGCTCAAGCCTAACATTGTCACCATGGACCATGTTGGATAGGTTGCTAGCTTCTTCTTGGGCTAACTCTGCACTAACCAGTTTCTCTCTCAGCAATTCCATCTCCTTCAGTGTATTGGTCAATTTTTTCTCCATCTCCTGCCTGCTTTTAAAGGCAGAAGCTAAGCTTTTTTCAGCAGCCTCTCTGCTTGCTAATGCAGCAGCCAATTGTCCCTCCAGAATGCCAAATTTTCTCATTAGGGAAGCCACTTTAGTTTCATAATAGTGATGGATGTTTGAAGCAGTGGACAACCCTGATTTACTGTTCTCGGGGAATGAGAATGACACATCATCACTTTCTAGAAAGGGGTTTCCAAAACCTAGATTTTGTTGATTTGGATTTCCAGATACCGACACCTGTTCCTCCATGTTGGTCTTGCCTCCACTTTTGCTCATGTGATTTCCAGGGTCATTTTGATTTGTTCTGTGATCAGCAGCCTGAAGTGTACAATAAGTACCAAGTTTCAGGAATGGAATAGCAATTACCACTGAATAAATGGTTCTGACCTTATGGACTATTAAAAATAATACTTATATGTGATGATTGAAAAGGAGTGATACATGCCATCAAGAGAAACCAGTCTAGATGGCAACATAAGCAGCTTATCAATAACATTTATAGTCCATACAAATAAGAAATGTGATACAGTGATAGCATTGCATATTGATGTTTATTACAAGTCGAAATATTCTGATCACAAGTATGTATGACTTATGAAGTGCAAAATAATAATAAAAATGAATGTTACCTATATGCAACTGAATGAATGGAAGCCTAGAACTGTATTTAGAGAGTGGGTAGGAGACACTAGGATATGTATTACTAATAAGTATTAACCATTCTGAGGACTTTCAGCCTAACTCAACTCCACAAAATTAACTTAGGACAGTTTTTAGAGAGTGGGTAGGGGACACTAGGATATGTATTACTATTAAGTATTAACCATTTTTAGAATTTAGACTTAGAGTATAATTCAACTTCACAAAATTAGCTTGTAAGGTGAAGACTATCTAAACTTCATAAGCTATATTTAACTCATATCTCTAGTCAATTAGAACTAGACATCACCCTTTAGGTGGGAATTAAGGCAGCACTCAAAGAGGCTGCAACTAAGGCAGTGGAGAACAACTACAACGACTTACCAACAACCATCATTTGTTATAACCATATCAAAAGTGTTTTGTATTAAAGCATAGCGTTGTGATTAATGGGAATTTGCATTTTACCTGAGGGGCAGAACTTTCATCTTCTGAATGCTTGTCAATCCTTACATCTGCATTGTATTCTTCATCATGATTAAATTGCCTGTGAAAGGAGATGTTGGTAGGGAGAGAATTGGAATCTTGTACAAGCAAGGATTTGGACAGAGATTTCCTTTCAGAACCATGTTCAATTGCAGATGCAAGATTTTGTCGAGCAACAGAGTTGATTGAACGTTGGGATGAGTCATTTTTACGTTGAGAACCCAATCCAGAAGTTAATGAATGTTTTTCAAGAAGAATAGATCTTGGCCCTTTGGTAGAAGTTGGTCGCCTTCCCAGGACTGATTCATTTTTTTCTGTTATCAATACTTCCACCTAGTACAGTAAAAAAGAACAGGGTTAAAAGTTCCAAAAGAATTAACTCATACATTAACTTCATACATTTATGTAATACCTGATTTGATGGCTCTTTTTTGGATCCCCCAAATGCAACAAGAAAGTCCTTATCCTTGTGCTGCACATGTACTAGGCTAAAACCCTGCTAACACAAAAAATATTATAAACATGCTTTTTAAACACTCAAATGCCAAAAATACAAACAAAATCTTCTATAGCAGATCTTTAAATTGAGTCAGGAAATGGATAAGATGTACTCCTAATGCCAAATATAACACATCTAAAAATAATTTCGCTAATAGTAAATAAGATACATGGTAAATAAATTAATGCAGTGTACAGCTTATAGGCTGAACAAAAATCTCTCATTAAAAAAAATATTAAAACTAAACCCTAGCCAGTGATTTCATCAGTTAAGATTAAATAGGTCTAACAAAGTCTCATATTTAACCTCTAGACTACATTGTGGGCTTGTAATACTTAGTTCACCACCATGAAACAAAATGAGTTATAAGCACAAAAAGCTAAATGGAATATTTTTAATAATACCAAATGCACAGTGAATTAGCAGAAGATGAATCTCACCTTGTTGGTAGTAATAGAAGATGGAGGTGATGCAATTGCCACAGACCATTCACTTCTTACTATATCATATACCAAAGTCTCCCCGTGTCCTGGTAAATACAAGGGAAAATTAGAAATTTTAGAATAAATCCCCCTTTCAGTAATCTGATCTTCTTACCGTGTAACTTGTAAGTATTTGTCTCTGGCTATCAAGGAACATTAAATAAATGAAAGTTTAAAACACACAATACAAGGAATGCTCACAAAGGCTATACAATCAAAAGCATTTTAGCGGTTAACAGATGCAATGATGACTGGAATGAAAGGTAAGAAGGAATAACTCAAACGCAACATAGTAACCAGGAACTATATCAGTGAAATTCATGCATAAATTACTTTTCTTAAGCTGCTGTAGTGTAAAAGGACAAGTTCAAAAGATAGAAATAAATAATATGCTCTGATATCAAGAGTGAATGTTTCTTCCATTAAAAAGCATACGTTTTTTCTTGCTTCCACCCCCTGTAATATACCATTTAGTGCCACATAAAACACCACAGCAACCAGATCTTGGTGATGGATGGAAACCACGTATCTTTATTCTTGACCATTCCATCTGAGAAGACATGTATTTTCATTAAATTACAGTGAATAAATATTTAATCTGCATCTTGGAGAAATAATAAGGTTGTATAGAGAGCTCACTGTTCCAAAGTCAAGTGAATACAAGTCATTCAAGGTCCTGGATTTTGATGCTCCTCCAAATATAAATAGAATTTTACCATCATAAAGAGCTGCCACATGGTTGAATCTTGGACAAGGTGCAGCTCCCCTGTAAGTAGTATCATATATTATTGTTCGAAACACAATTCAAATTTTCAAATTCAAATCTCTAAGAAATTATTTAGATTTTAAAAGATATGGATTTTTTTAAGGATATTGTTTAGAATTGAAATATATTAATTTATTTTAGAGATTTATTTCTTCTTTTAAGATTAGGATGTAAGGTTAATAAATAGAGATTCTTGAGATGAGAAGAAACACCAAAAAACTTGTGATAGGGAGGTTTTCAAGTTTCACCTATAAAATTTGTGAGGAAGGAATTTCTAAATTTCATCTATAAAACTTGTGAGGAAGAGATTTTCAAGTTTCACCCACAACTTGAATGGAGGATTTTCAAGATATATGTAATACATTTTGAGATTGATAATGAACATCTTGTAGACATAGTCATGAGAAGCTAAACCATGTTAAATAAATTTATGTGATCTTTTTTATTTTTTATTTTATGGTGTTTTACTGTGTTTCGCATCATTATTGTGCGTAAAAGAAAAGGGGCATCAGAGCTCATGGTGATCTATCACTTGAGTATTGAAGAGTGACATACGACAATTCCAATACCCAAGAAATGGAGACAAGAAATACTGTAGAGTAAAAGTATGATTGAAGATGATTGTGATAGGCATCCATGACAACAAGAAGATCAAATTTAAAAATTTTAATTGAGGGAGGAATTGTTGGGAAAACAATTCAAGTTTTCAAATTCAAATCTGAGATATTATTTAGATTTTAAAAGATATTTGATTTTTTTAGGATATTGTTTAGAATTAAAATATATTGTATTTATTTCAGAGATTTGTTTCCTCTTTTAAGATTAGGATAAAAAGTCAATAAATAGAGACTCTTGAGATGAGAAGAAGCATCCAACTTATAGAGGGGGTCACTGCCTTAAATGAGAGAAAAAGTCATATGAAGGAGGGTTTCCAAGTTTCGTTAAAAAACTTGTGAAGGAAGGTTTTCAAGTTCTGCCAAAATATTTATGAGAGAAGGGTTTTCAAGTTTCATCCATAAAACTTGTGAGAAAGGGGTTTTCAAATTTCATCTATAAAATTTGTGAGGAAAGGATTTTCAAGTTTCGCCCACAAAATTTGAAGGGAGGATTTTCAAGGTATATATAATACATTTTGAGATAGATAGTACGCATGAGAAGCTGAACCACGTTAAATAAATTCGTGTGATCTTTTTCGATTTCTTTTATAGTGTTTTAATTTGTTTCTCATCATTATTATGCGTAAAAGAAAAAGAGATTTTTTGTTCCCAACAAGGAGCTGGGAAAAGAGAAAAAAAGAACATAGTTATATTTCAAAAGCAAGGAAACATTTTAATCAGGTCCTTATCGGCAGATAGTGACATGGAAGTTCAAACTTTTGTTTTTGAACATAGGAAAAAAAGAAGAAAGAATTCATAACAAAGTGTAGACACAATTACGTGTAGAGAAGTGGAAGCCATGTAAAGGAATTGAGATCAAACATATGTAGATCATTCAGTTTCCTCCTTTTTGCATCTTCTCCCCCAAACAATATTAAAACAGAGTTAGCCATAACAACAGTGTGACCACTGCGGGCAACCTGCCAAGAACAAAATCTTTGGTCGGTAAGAAAGATTCTGAAAGGAGAAATGAAATTATGATGCATTAGTCCAGGTAATGCGCTATATTCTCATTACAGAAAATTTCCCTACTTTTTATACACTTTGTGTGCAATACTTTCGGCTCATGTCTTCCTGACAATTTAGCTTGTCAAATGTAATGCACGAATCACTCATCATGCATGACAATGTCAATGTAATCAAGGAAAAAGCTGTTCCATTTCAATAGGGAGTCCTCAATGAAAGACATCCTAGCACATACTCATTAACATAGTTTAATTGATAAAGAACTATTTTGGTTAAAAGAGAGATAAAATAGAAGTATACATGCTGAAAACTGTGTTTCAACTAAACCACAGAGATATTTATAAAAATGATTGTAATAAATACAAAGACACAATTCCTAATTATTATATTTATGTCTACATGATACAGTTAACCTAGACATAATAATACATGTAATGATTACCATGATTCATGATAATATTGGGCACAATATGTAAGTTGCAATTCATTAGCATATGGCTTAATATTTGGATTCCTAATATTATGGAAACAATACCGAAGATCAACTTTCTACCCAGAAGAATTTGCAGTTTTATCAAATGACAATTCCTACCGGTATGTCTCCCTTTGCTTCCATGAGTGACCAACACTCTGACTCTGTATCAAATGCCCACACTGCAAAAATCAGAAAGATAATTAGAACATTTTCACAGCCTGAAACAGGAAAAACTATTACATATGTGAAGGACATGGAGCTGAACCAGAAATTTTGTCACTTGCTGGGTCTGTTTTCCCTCCAATGAGGAGTGCCTTTCCCCCCCAAGAAACCTGGCCAAATTATCATCAAACATAAGAAAATTGACAGTTTGAGACTGGGGGTAAATCATTAAATTATATAAACTTAATTGTTCTTGTATATCTCTTGGTAAGCAATTGATTAACTTTATCTTCAAAGTTGGAGGTCTCAGAATTTAAATAATATATTTGCTATTTCTAGTTTCAGGCAGCTTTCTACAAAACCCTATGTTATGCCAGGCATAAACTTTATGAAGTGCATCTAATGACCAAGAGAAAAAAGGGGGAAAAAACTTTAAAATGGAACAAATCACAGCAGATATAAAGTGATAGAAGAAAACAGAAAATTTTAAGTGCTACACCTGAAGATTGAAATTATACACAAGGGAAATTGAAAACAGGCTTTTATATTTGCCTCAACGCTTGAAACACCGCTCTTCTCTCCA